GTACTATTTTTCTTTCAATGTACATATTCCACATCACTCGGGGTGGCCTACCAGCTTACTAAGATTACCTAACAAGATTACTCGGTATGGAAAGTTTATCCTAACAAGATTTTCTGAGTATAAAGTTCGCCATTATACAGCGGAAATTTCCTGCTATTAGAATAAGCCATATTCGTTATCACAGCTAGTGCGCATTCCTACTCGGTCAGACGTCTGTTAGAACAGCAGTAAAGCAACCATTTCAACATTAATATGAGTAATTATAATAAGTGTTTGCAGATGTACCACAGTCACTGATTTGAGGACTGTTTGGGTTTCCAGTGAATTCCCTATAATCAATGTATTCCGAACACAATGCTATAAATTGAAAGAATAATGGAAATATTTCAGTCACAATCATCTTATGGAATCAGTGGACTGATCGTAAGATGATTAGTGATTCAATATGCATGTACTCTGTTGAAAGGCCACTCTAAATATATAATTTGTTACTCTGTTTACGATAGCAATTTGTGTCAAAAACAAATTGAAGTCGTTTTTACCCTTTTCAATTTACCGTGAGATCTCTGAATGTCACTAAAGTATATGCACTTGAAACATGCATAACTGAAAAGAAAACAATATGTGCTCCAGTCCAGGGAGTTTCCATTGAAAGCAAGCAAATCTTTATCTTAGCTTTCTACTTTCAGGTCTTGATCGAGAACGCCTTCACCATCACAATGATCTTCCGGACGAGGTACCCAAACCACCTGAAGGTCATGGTTTTGACAACACATACCCTTTTGCTCAGCACAACGACAACAACAACAACAACAACAACAACAACAACGTAAACAACGACGTGAATGACAACACGAACACAGAGTCCCGAAGCAGGGAAGGAGGAAGTTCTAGTGATGGTAAAGATAACAAATCTCGACGAAGAAGAACCGCGTTCACAAGTGTGCAGTTAAAATGTCTTGAGGAAACTTTTCAAGCAAATAAATATTTGACTACAATGGAGCGGGACAGACTGGCACGAGCTTTAAATCTGAGTAAAAAACAAGTGAGTGTCAGAGCAGTGATATGGAATGAGATCTGACTAGAATTGTGGATGTCAGTTGCGGCTGGTACATTTCATCCTAAACAAATGTTTGAATATCTTTATTCAGGTCAAAACTTGGTATCAAAACAGACGTACAAAATGGAAACGTGAAAGCCTAGGAGATCCACTTCAGTCTTTTGCTATCCCTCCAAACGCCCAGGCGTACCTACGTATCCCACGGCCACCTTGTCAGGGACATTATGCTTCGTGTAACCCTTATAATCTTGGGAATCCTGTATGCCCTTGCTATTTTCATAGATATAACTCGTACGATGTTCGGTCAACTTCGTATGATGTTCGTGCACCTCCGCCGCCAGTCAATCTATCGCTACCAACTATGCCCGGAATGTCTTCAAGCTAGAACCGGAAATAATGGGAGCCAAAGTAAACTCACAATTTACTGGCATGCAAAGCATCAACTTTACGATTGGAAGAGTTTTCATTAAAACAAATTCAAAAGAGCTTGTTGCCTGAAATACAAGCAATTTTGACCCGAATCATTATACCAAGGTTTATTTTATAATGTAGGTTTTACAGAAGATTAACATAGACATTTGCACTGTTAAATGTATATAATATATTCGTCTATCGTCCTTGGGTCAAACACCTGTGTAAATATTTTGAAATATTTTATACCATGATATAATAAATAATTTAATAAAATAAAATAATAATATTAAAAAAACAAGATTCCTTTTTTATCATTCGATGCTATTTTTAGACATGAAAGTTAAAAGGACATTTTTCAGTTACAAGCCATGAATATAATATAAATAGAAATCTTAATGTTTGATTTCCTTCTTACAGTTAATCCAGGCTTAATGTATTAAACTTGATGGTAATCGTGTGGGCAGCCAAACGTCGGTTTGTAAGCTAAGACGCGCCCAACACTCACTTCATAAACACGTTATAACCTCCGTTCCAGCCACGGCACAACAGTAAAATCGATACTTCTGTAGCCGAACCATTTTTATCTGGGATCGATATTGTTAGACTGAGCAGGGATAAAATTAGTTAGAGTACTAGTTTCAGTTATACCGTGCCTATAAATTGAGTGTAAACGGCGCCGACCAACACATTTGAAGCCGGTGTTTTAAATGAGATCTAAGATTTATAAAAATAACAGCCAAATCTTTGACCAGACTATAATCACTTGTTTTTATTTTAATTTCTAAAGCTCATTGCACGAGATGACGAGAGATGACGAGAGAGTAACAACATGCATTTACTCTGAACCAGGAGCTTTTGAATATATCTATTAATTGCAGAAACTACTTAAAATAGCCTTTCATGTTTCAAGAGATTGGAAATGTGGACGCTCTTTAAACATGGTTTGCACGTACTGTCGACATTACCCCTGAATTTCTTCCAGTACAGCGGATTTAGTTTTAGTCGTATTCTGGAGAATCAGAGATTTAAAGACGAAGCATCCGAAGTTCAAGCTCGGCTTTTTACGCCACAAATGTTAATTATTAGTAATAAATTATTACATAATTTTATAACATAAGATACACACAATCATGGCACACCACTGACAATATGAGTACATCGAAAGTTCGCAATGACGCCTCGCAAGTTCATTTTCAACTGCCAACTTCGACAATGTCTAATATCACCAGGCAAGCTGAAAAAATACCAAAAAATATTATCGACTTTGTGTTATTATTTCGTAGCTCTCTTTGCTGAGTTTGCATTCAATATAGTTCAAGATGTTCTGGTTCATCACCGGCAATTATAACATGAGTAAAGATAAGTTGGGGAAGTTGAAAACTGATGAACGTGCGTCGTTTGTTGCGAACCATTCACTGTGATCTGAAGAACCAATTAACTCACAAATTAATATCGGACTTTGCAACCGCGTCTTCAAAAGTGAGCTGAGATCAGTGGCTGAGATCGACGTTATTAACGAGATGCGCTAATTGCGTTTATCCTTGTTATTTAAGGGGGAATTAGTCATTGGACTGTATATCTAAAAGGAAGAGTTATCTAATTCAAGACATTTTTAATCTGATGATGTTCAGAATTAATTCTACTGCATTTTTCTAGTTAATTAATAGTTGCTGTTGCATGCTTATAAATTGAAATGACCTGAGCAGAGATATGAAAAAACCAAGATAGCGTGTTTATTAAAGTTGCTTGAGCCACAGGAAACGACATTTGATGTTCTGTGACGGCGACATTTGTAGGTTTACCTCAACGGAAAGCTACGTGGTCAGGACAGTCATCTTTCTGACGCGCTTTCTTTGTCGGAATCTATATTTCATCCTGAAAAATAGATTAACTGCTACCTTGGTACTTCAAATCCATCATTTCGATCGTCACAACTGCCTTCAATAAAGGTTTATCTATCTAAACATCTATCTATATTGAAATATGTCTGGACGCTGTTTTGCACGTGTTCAATATTAATAGGGTAAGTGCATGCTCGTGGTATCATGGACGTTCCTGTGGTAATATCAAGTTTTTTCTTTGCTAAGGGCTGCTTTCGACTGTCGCGTTTTTTGCACGTACTTACACTTAAAACTTTCTGAGTTGTTGTATAATTAATATTATGACAGAAATAACACACGAAATCCTCAACAGGATCCAACCAATGCATTAGCATCTATTCAAACGTTGATTTCATAAGTATCATTTAAATGATTTTAAACTTTTACGTGCGTCCAAAAAACGCGACAGTGGAAACAACCCTAAAAAGACGGCCCGAAGTCCCCGGTCTCAGTAATTTCGATCAGTCTTGATTCTTGAATGCCTTGTGACAGAACTATCGCCATAATTATATAGTAAACCTGCCACAATTCTGGTTGCACTGACGAACACAACGAACACGTTCCAAACCACCCTCGCCCCTCCTCTTCTTCCATTTTTGTCTTGTTCCAGGTTACTCAAGGCACGGCTCAAGGGGATGAACAAAGATGATATTTACGATAATTGTTATTAAGATAAATGATCTCAATTACTAAATACCTCAGTCATCAATGAATCTTAGGTTCACCGACCGGAATACACCTGATTAGTTTTTATGTTTACTAAACGTTTAAAAACATCACTGAATACTGTGATTTCCTGCGCCTGCCGCGAGTCAATAGAACTGATTCAATATCAGGCAGAAATATCCACTGCGATTTTGTCACAATTTGTTGCAAAAATCAGGCCGCTAGCGCATGCGCCTTTGCTTAACACATGGAGAAACGTTTCATATAGGCTTTAACCTTTTCACGTTTCAACTTTCAGAAACAAAGTAGCTGCCACATCGGCAAGAAATATAGGCCTATTAGGCGGCATATGTATGCCGGCGTGAACCCCCTATAAAACCCAACTAATTAAACTATCTTTAGTGTTTGTGGTCTGAGTTGCCCATATTCGTATGTGGAATGAGTTGCTAATTGTTGCTAATTTGGAGATTGCAATATTGCTGCACTTATAGAGTTCGACTAAGCAGTTCCTTTGATATGAAAGGTTTTTCTTATCAAGTGTGTTATTACAGGAAGGAAAAAAGTCGGTAAAAAGAATGCTCACTGATCTAATAAATGGAAAATATTTGTTCTTTTTCCAAAAGAAAACAAGATGAATAATAAAATATGCAGTACATCTTCTTGACCCGTCTTAAATCATTTTCTAACTTGTCAGATATCGTGTTAATCGAAACAGCTTATACGAACACGACGAATGGCAGATTCTAAAGCCTTTTAGAGAGAGTTGAATATACCAGAAAACTAACGGGTAGATGTGAGGGAAAATATAAGAATTGTGATATTTTCAAAACGTCTACATATGTCGCCCTAGTTTTAATAACGTTGTGTGATATACCACAGATGATTTCGATGACAGCTCGATATTCAATGCCCCTAATTGCAAGCCGGGGCTGTTTACATAGCCTTGCATTTGTAAGGCCCGGCGAGCCAATTATTTTAATAACTTGCAAATTTTGGTGCGAGAAAGAGCGTATCATGCATCGTTACACAACATTCAAAGATGACTTAATCACTTTGTAGGGGAGTTCGGAAACGATTTATGATCTTGTTTGGGGCTTTTGGTCTAAATTCGTAGCCGTCGAGTTGTATTAACCAGCACAAGTCCACCTTAAGAGGTTTTCACAACGGCTTATGGTAAAGCGTTTAAAGATTGTATTCGAATCGTCGCCACGAACGATCACCTAGGTTGCTTTTGTCTGTGTATATTTATATATCAGTAAATCTACTTAGAATGAAGTGGAATAGCCATATCATGTGGCGTTTAATGATACTTCTGAGTGTGTTTGTTACATTTTGTGAGCCGGAATCAACGAAAATATCAAATATTCGCCCAAAACGTTACAAGAAGAGACATTCGACTTATAAATTTAATCTTCGTAAAGTCGTAGTTCGAAATGCGAAAGTGATGAACGCTACCTGTTTAGGTAAGTGCTGGAGGTTTGATAATGTAGCATTAATATATTCTTTAAAATACAGCTAAAAGATTAGCATTTTAACGTATTCGTCAAATACTAAATAGAGGTTATTAAAGAATTCTTATAACCCCGTAGTCAGCTGTAATTCTTCATTACCTCTTACCGCGAGATTCTATGGGAAAGAAAGATATATTTCTGATTTAGCAAGTTCTCGAGGTTTGGTAAGTTTGGGTCTATTACAGAGCAGTGGTGGAATACCGTGTAGCATTTCGTTTTCAAAACATCAAAATTACGCAAACGTTTGTCTGCTTAAACTATAATGTTTATTTAGGAGACAGCGCACACTTTATATTACCTTGCCTCGCCAGATCAAACTGAGCCGAAATTGCACGTGTTGACAAAATACGTTTGAAGATAGTAGAGTTTTCCACCATCGTAAAATAACCGCATAAAATAATAGTTTTATATATATAAGCCGTTACAAACAGGCAGTTTCGCCCCGGCCGAGACTGACTCTAATACTCTGCATGCCCTCATCACTTACTCCAATACACTTTCATCAACCCTTGTGAAGATTGGCCTGCTGTTAATTCATGATGTAGTGTTGTTTGCCGCGGTTTGCGTGATAATATTTCTAGCTATCATGCAACTCGTTTGCAACTTGTTTGGCAGAGAGTCTGGTGCAAACTCTTGCTTACTATAATAATTTGAGGACCCTTGTGTGTTAAAAAAGTTTTAAATCATTCAACACTTCATGACCTCGATTTCATTGGAGATGCTTCAACCTGTCAATAGTTTGTAATAAATCCTAATTGTCCTTTCCTCTGCGGTTACGACTTTTGAGTCGCCAGGTTCTAGGTCGCTGTGGTCTGGAGACTCTGCTTAATTTAGCTATTCTAGAAAAAAAATCGTTGCGAGGTGAGACAGAGCGACAAATTGGCATGAATCATTGTGTAATATGCATGGTAAACATTTTTGTTGCGTATAAAAGGATATGTTTGAGAGCAGTGCTCTGCAGTTTAAACGGAAACTTTTAAGTCTACACACCAGTTCGAGGTCATACAATATGTAGTTGAATCTGGTCTAGATTCAGGATTACTCAAATATACCTGCAGGCTAGATTGTGCATGGTTCGGATGACGATAAGGTTGAAGCCACGCATAGACTGTTGTCTTGGTAATATTTGCTCTTGCGAACAGTACAAGACTGCATGTTTATGTCATACTTTAACGAACAAGGAGAACTATGTACATGCAGCCGCGAACATTAAGAAATGTTGTTTCAACAAGAAAATAACTGACCAAGAAATTGTAAAAGAAAAAAGTACGCGGCTGTGTGGGGCTTAAAAACAAGTAAGAAGGGAATACGATCAGATAATTGAATGCAGGCGACATATGTGGTATTAACGCTTTTATGAAACATAATACAAGGGATTTACGTGTTTGTGTGAAAACAGACAAACATAATGAAGTGGCCATATGTGGTCATTCGCATGTTGTTTCGTGTATTTGTTTAAAGATTCGCACATTGCCAAGTTACTGGCGTGTAGGTCTAATACAGACATCGAACTCCTCCCATCAAAATTGCAGGATTAGATTGTTTCATGATCAAAAATTCAAATCTGATTGCCATCTAGTCGGTAAATGTTTACAATTAATGAAGTTAGAGGTTAAATTACGATATTATTGAATAAGAAACACGATGTCAATGAAGACTAAACGATACATGGTGTGGTATCCCTGCCTCCTCGTAACACGCAATCTTCCTCCAGGAATCACTCGTATCAGAATCAAACATTCATGCATGCAAACACGAAACTAAATACCGAGCCTATAATGATACTATGTAAGTAAACCACTGAACATTATTAAAATTGTTAGTACATATCAGGAAGCATGCGCGGTAAAGCTCAGCATGTTGGGAATTTGGAAGATTTTAACTTAGTACGTTAATTAGCAAATATCAACTTGAGGCAATTCCGCGTTTTTGTTTGCTCTTTGGTAAACACCATCACGCATTGTGTAAACCATTTATGGTGCGAGTGAAATGTCATTTTTTCAGGGATGTGTATATGTCTTGAAACATTTGATAAGCCCTACAGGTGAAATCAATTTGTATGATTCATACATCAATGTTTGTATTTATAGGTTTATCAAATATCTGCATGCTTGATAAGAATGTGTGTGGCACAGTTGTTTCTCGCCAGTGGGTTTTCTATGAAAACATACTACAATTCGAAAAAATGTGATGGAAATCGTGCTTTAGAAATCTGTGTTTGTACTGACACAGAAAAAACGCAAAACAAATGCGAAATAAAACTTCAGGAAAGCTCGAACGATTATCGAAAAAAACTTTTGACCTTTGGAGAAATTTGTCGTATCTCAAGAATGCTCTATTAAGACTTTAGAACTCAGAGGGGTCGCCTTAAAGTCTTCTTAGCGTTCTTTGAATCTTCGAAATTAAATATTGCTAAGAGATTTTAAAGGAAGATATGTCGTAAAAGGTTTTCTTTGTCATAAACAAAACAATCGCTCCAGCTGTGCATTTGTTCCTGAGCAATTAACTGCTCGACTCTGCCCGCCCTCGTGTTTTGTGAGTCAAACCACAAGAACTATAGGTACATACGTACGCACGTCTATATATAAGATTAATTGAGGTTAAAAAATGAGTGGTTTACTGTGGCTATAGATACCACTTATAAACATTTATTGCATTTTCGATTTGGAGTCTATATTTAAAATAATTATCAGTTATTTTGGTACATAAAGAGGTCTTATTGTGGATTTAAAAATATTCTTCATGTTACATGTATTATTCAGTACGGAGGTCTTTTTCTCAATCTAAATATATTCAGTAAACACCAAAAGTATCGTTCCAATATCAACACGCACTTTCCAAGATATCATGCAAGCATGCAGCATAAAGAAATTTAAAATGTTGTTTAAAATTTAAACTTATAAAGCTGGAAATATCATAACTTGTGTAACCCAGAGCATCAAAGCACTATTAAAGCACATCAGCATTATTTAAATGCGGAGTAATATTATAACTATTTGACTAACCTTAATCATAATAATAAATAGTTCCCTACACACAGTGGTTACCTAGGTTATTACTGTTTTGCGGTTTGAGTAAAAAAATTAATAGTTGATGCGGGGGATCAAGCCAAAAAAGTGCAATCATTTCCATAAATGATAAAGTGTTATAAAATGTTTTATCTTAGCCCGTATTTTTTTGAGATTTAAAAGCCTGTGGTGTAAATCCAACCATAGAGTCAGAGATTGGAAGAGCAAAATGCATTTGCAACACTTTCTCAAAAATGACAAAATTATGTAATTGTTTTCGCAACAATTGTCTCAATCATAGGAAATTCAGGAATGTAAAACAATACGACAGCTAAATGTAATTTAATTTAAGACCAGCTGCTGTTTCCTATATATAGCCTATAGTATACATTTGTATGATGGTAATGGTGCACCCCAAACCCACCTAATAATATACAATGATATAACTACAGAGCTACAATATCAATCTTTTCAAAACGACTCCACAGATTTCCATGTGCATGTCCCCTACGCCACATCTGTGTTTATTAAAGAGCAATCATAAAAGCATTGTCTTTCAATGTCCAAATAGTTTTAGAAATATTTTATAACAAATCAAATAGCAACATTCAAGAATTCGTATGAATATACTCTGAATATACTTGCATGTGTATGTGAACATCTTTGGCATTCATCTATGGGGAAATAAGATAAGTAAAATTTTAGGCACTTACAAATAAAATCAATAATAAAACAAAACTGCTCAAAAATACACGAACGGGTGGATATGGTAATAATAAAAAAAAAGGTAAAACAAAAAAAAAAAATCATATTTGGAAACGGGGCTTATTTCTGTTTCAACTAATAGCATAGCTTCGTTCTTTAGAAAGCATAGAAAAGCATTATCCAATTGGACGAAAGCTTCCGAGAGCTGCGACATGTCCCATTTTTTGGTACCTTCCAATGTCTAACAACATGTGATTTATTTAAAGAATATGTTTCTTTAACCCAAGCAGGCTTATGTTTTTGCATCCTCTGGGCTAAGAATTAAGACCCGCTAATTAAAACCAAAAGTCAGCTTTTCTCGCTGATCCAATTTCAATGATTCTACGATTAGAAAACCGCGAAAATTGCAGTAACTTGCATGCGGTATCACTTACAATCGACAATGTCAAGTGACGGCTGAGATGACCCCGGCCCGATCAACGTTTTTTCTCATAGTGTGATTGATGAATATGAATGCCACTTTTTTAATAGAGAGTTTTAGTTAGACGTTTAGGGCAAACCACAAACCGCGGTTTCACGCTAGCGGTTTCAATTTCGCTGTAAAATCGCTTCTAGCTATTTCTAATGCTTCAATTTTTAAAAAAACAAATGTCGTTTACACCTAGGTTGAAAGAACCTTGGTAAACCGCCATATTGCCAGTCGTGTTATTGAATAGTGCTAGCCGCTTTCTTAAAGAAAATCGGTAAAATTTCGATATCCAATATGTCTACTAGGAGTGTTTATACGTGAAACGAGACACTATTGCAATGACAAAACACTGAGGTAAATGAGCTACGTGAAAATACACCTCCAGCGGTTGAAAACATGAACCGCAAACGGCAAAATTTCAACGTCAAGCCGCGGTTTGCGGTTCGCGATTGAAGAAAAAACGTCAAACTAAAACTCTCTAATATAAAATATAAACGTTCAGTTAATGAGAAGCATAGAGAAGCATAAACAATGAAATAAAGTAGTTCATATCAAATACTCGTGTTCCAAAGATAACTATAAGATCTCGTTAATCCTGACCGTTTTCTGCACGGATATAGTTCATGTTGAAAAATTCTCTGTCTTTTTGTATGAATATAGGTAACATTAGAAAATGTATTTACACATGTCTTGTTGGAAATTTAATCGTTGCCGCTGGTCGGATATCACTAATTACTCGGACATCTCTTGACATCCCCCTGATAGAAACCTGGGCTAATCCTTTCTAAAACACTTATATAAACCATAAAATTTCTTGCAAGGGGGGAAATTTTGCCCACCATCGCTTAGTAACCCTATAACCTCGAGCTACAATGAAAAGTCGTTTATCTGTTTAGATGACTCTGATGCGGCATTCTACATCAGCCGTAATACTAAGAATCATAACTGGGTAATCCGTCTCCAGGCCGGGGGATCTTGTGTCCTGTTTTCAGAATGTTATGATAGAAAAACGACAGCATTTGGTTCATCAGATTATCTAGAGGACTACATCACTGGCACCTTCCTAACTTCAAATGATCCAGAGGTCAATCCTACGTTTCATAGATGGAATAAAGTGTTCATACCTTATTGCAGGTCAGTTTTTTAAACAAACTTTATGTTGAACCCCCCCCCCCTAATCTGGATATTAGCTTCTAATTGTCATGCAGTTGCCCGTAGAAGTTAGGTAAAATTATTATATTTTATTGATTTACGGTTATAGTCATGCAGGAGCTATGCTCTTGATATAGCTATCAGTTGGAAAATATCCGGCCCAAAGTTCCCTTGATAATAATTTTTTTTAGTGTTCGCATGCAAATAACCACTTTTATGGAGAGAAATTAATTTTTCTGTACGTTTCTGTAGCGGGGATTTATTTGTTGGAAGAAAGCAAGCCAGGGACCATGGTTTTGGATTGCCGATGCTTGGTCATTATATTGTCACGAGCATTATAAGACAACTAATTCAAGACTACAAGATTAATACCAAACATACTAAAGTATGACTTTACCTTAATTCCGTCATATAATTCTCACATAATTACGTTATTACGTTTATACAATTCATAAATCGTAAATACAGACGAGAAATACAGAGATACTTTGGAGATCGCTATTTTGTGCATGTGCGGCATTTCTTTGTATGCAAGCTTGTCGTTATTATTGCTGTCTCAATACATGAGCATCAAATGTCGTATTTCTTGTTAGAAGAGGCAAATTAATTTGTCGATCTCTTAGATTCTCTTTGGTGGAGCGTCCGCTGGTGGGATCGGAATGCTCAGTAATATTGACCACGTCGCGAAGATTGTAAAACCTGCGAAGGTCCTTGGCTATAATGACGGTGGTTGGTTCACACTCTACAGAAACTTCCTGGAACCGAGAGGAAATGGAGCTCCTGAATTCTTGAGTACACTACGTTATGTAAGTAGCATTATTGCTACATCATGTCCTCCCAGAGTCTGAGCACGGAGTAAAGACCCTGGGTACGAGGTTACGTCATGTATTATTATAACTATATTTTTATACATTTATATTTTTACATATTTAGCTATTTAGATATTATTGGGATGGTTTTGTGGACGAGTCGTGCCGTGCACAAATGCCTCAACCCGCCGCATGTCTTTATGGTGAAATGGGTAAGAATGTCTCATATTGTTCGCAGAACCATATCAAGATTTTCTGAAGAGCGTTTTTAAATTGTTAGAGTTACCTTGCATAGCATTAGGCCAGCGTCTTTAATGAGAATGGATTACTATGATAATGACGTTGGTGGAACTAGCAGAAGAACAGTTTAGAACTATTAAAGTAACTTGGTATAAATTAAAAAGGATTGGAGAAAAGATTTGAAAAAAGATAACCACACTTATAGTCCACAAGCTTCGTTAAACAATATTCTGAACCGTTGCAGTGATACAACATCTGTCTACACCAATCTACGTCATGGTCTCTCAGTGGGATTCGTATCAGTTGAATGAACTAAATCTTGATAAATACCGTCCAGTACGTCTGCCACCATCATCGCGTAGCGAAGCCCTCTATTTAGCACAGTTTGGAAACAACACGTACAAATCAATAAAAAGGGTGAGTTGGATTGTGGGATCAGGAAGAGCAGTTTTTCCTTAACAAATAAGTGCATATGAAGTGTATGAATCCATGTTTGAGAGGATCTATATTAGATAGACAGGTATCCATATTAGATAGACAGGTATCCATATTAGATAGACAGGTATCCATATTAGATAGACAGGTATCCATATTAGATAGACAGATATCTATATTAGATAGACAGGTATCTATATTAGATAGACAGGTATCTATATTAGATAGACAGGTATCCATATTAGATAGACAGGTATCAATATTAGATAGACAGGTATCCATATTAGATAGACAGGTATCCATATTAGATAGACAGGTATCCATATTAGATAGACAGGTATCTATATTAGATAGACAGGTATCTATATTAGATAGACAGGTATCTATATTAGATAGACAGGTATCTATATTAGATAGACAGGTATCCATATTAGATAGACAGGTATCAATATTAGATAGACAGGTATCCATATTAGATAGAGTGCATGGTATTATGGCGACATTCATATTAGAGAGCTGCTACCCACATTACAGAGCGGGATCAGTATTATTCAGCAATACATTTAGAAGATGTTATTTTAATCCTTCCAAAGTCCTACGAAATGCGAATACATCTCTTCTCTGTGACATCGGACACCTTCTGCCAGTAATATGAACAATTTTCTTAGCTTTCTTCTCATACTAACTCTCCTGACGAAGGCCCTCAGGTCGAAACGTCGAGAAGTGTTTTGTCTATTTAGGCAGTTGTTATACCACATTTGATGCTAGGTTTTCTTAGATTGTACTCATGATAAAACTTCATTCTGTCATAGCTGATCTACAGTAATGGCTCTGGAGTGTTCTCGCCAGCCTGTGTCTCACATACGTTCGCTGGAGTGAATGAAACAGAAGCGGCTATTACAATGAACTATAAAATTGCAGGTATTTGCCCGTCGCGCTTAAAAAATACAAATTTAGTGACATGTTCGTTCACTATTCCAACTTTTTATATTTTTCAGGTGTGACGCCTTATCAGGCGCTATCTGAATGGTATAACACAAGGGGTAAAAGAGGGACATATGTGGATATCCCTTTAGCATCTCCTCGCTGTAACCCTACCTGTTGTTCAAAATATTGCTCACTCTGTAGCGAACATAATGAAATGTTGGTCATGTCCGACGTACGAAGGGAAATTGTTCATGTCACCACCGAAACTATCCATCTTCATACGACTATTACGTCAAGTTAGTATATTAATAATTGAAACACACTATAGAAATATTTGTCTTTATGTCTATATGTCTCTATATTTGGAACAAGTGATCGGATAAATGTATACTTTTGACGAAATGTTTTAATATTCGTTTATTTTTATCTTCAGATGCAGCGCAGTTGCCATCACAAGTCAGTTTAGTGTCTATCGTTTGTGTGCTGTTGCTTTCCACACTTCTCAGATGATGACGTTTAGTGAATTCTAAAAGTTAATCAACAGATGACACTTTATTATAGTGCACCATAGAGTTTACTTATTAGAGTTTTAAATTATGTTTCAATTATGTTATATATTATTTATGTTCATTTTGATAAATGACAATTCAAAAGTAACTTAGTACGTAGGCCCTGTTTTATATACGTCACACTTTACTTCCGTCGAATGCAATTGAGACTATAGATAATGAGATAATTAGCCTCATTACCCTTCATTATCAACTCACTATCTATTGTCCTAGTTGTATTCGACACGACTGAAATGCGACGTTTAAACCGTGCAGAGGTAACCTGCAGTAAATAAACACGAAGCTAGTAAATTAGGTCATATTATTTCTGGACTCGCTGGTGTCCAATACAAAAATTTATGCTTATGTAAATAATGATATATTCAACTAAGAACCACTGTATATAATATAATATATTATCAGTATCTCCTATAGTGACCTTGGAGAAAAAATATTCCAATTCTCAACAAGAAATTTGCTTGAACAAAAGATGTGGCAGATTTGATTTTGTAATTTGCAAAAAAAAATCAGTGGCCATTCGATAGTGAAGAATTTTAACCAAAGTCCCAGACCAGCATGAAATGCCACTGCCGTGATTTAATAGATCTCTGTGTTTCAACAGCTATATGTACGTATAGCACTTAGTGGAAACACCTGCGTCGATCGCTAGACTTTTTGTCATTACCACGCAATATCGTAGGTTAGGCCCGCGTTTAGCCTGAATGCGCGCAGACGGAAATTCACGTGTAATATTCACAGGAACAGACACAGGCTACTAGTAGTTCTCGCATCATTAAACAATAGTATCATTTATCAGGTTGCATAGCGACGTTGTTGTTGTGGTTTTAAAAGAGATCAAGACGGCTCGTGTTTCAGCAAGGCCATATGATCATAGTATCAATGGATACAGTTAGATGTGTTTATCCTTTTTAAAAGAGTATTGATGATGAATTTAGGAGATTATATTGGTGATACAAGAACGGATAGTCTACCAGCAGGATTTTTAAAATCAATAAAGATCAAATACAGACACGAGGCATCGCGAGTGTTCGCAGGGTTGCAACCGCATTCGCGTCAAAATGTTACCAATGAAGAATCTGGGAGCGCTGTAGAAGAAAAAGCACGCAGTAAAGAGGATGGCAGAGAGAAAGATGATGAGCATAAGCAAAATGTAATAAATTCATTACCGAGGATTTTTAAATCATACTTAAGACTTTGTGTACATATAGAGCTGGGTGTTTATTAAATCAAGTGTTTCTTTCAAATTCAGATTAGCCACAAAATGGTTTAATTCAGGAGAGATTGCATGATTCCGATCACCCAAAATTAATTAAAGAAATCACGAGGCTTTGAAATACTGAAAAACGTCAATGATCCTGGTTGTGCTGTGAAATCCCATGTGAAATCATTCGAAGGCTAATATTTACTTTACTGAAAATCATTCCAAGCTTCATATTAAGATATAAGATCTAGGCTAATTGGAATCATGTAAATATAAACCCCTATAAATCTTATGTTTAATAATTTCCGCCATCCTATGCACGAACAGGATCTAGCATCAATTTGAATTTTTTCAAAAATTCTGCATCAAACAACTCTATATTCATTGCACTAGGTTTATGACTAGAGTAATGTTTGACCCCAGTCCTCGCGACCTCATTCACGCGATCGCAGCAGAATTCATTATGTTTGCACATGTTCGTATGATGAACACACCCTTAAATTAATTTTTATACTGCTGCTATCTTTATCGGAATATTGTATTCATTTTGGCAAATCAACGTGGGCACACAATGCCTAAAGCAATCGAAGGGTTTAGCAAATTCGTTGGCAATTTCGTTGAATTGCGAGCAACCAAACACAATTGAAAAATTCGAATGATTGCAATTCAAAAGAGAGGCGAAATATTTCGTCTTTCGTAAAAAGCACCCGTGGAATCAGGCCCTAACATTGCCATGGCAAGCAATCAATTTTCGATATGTAAGCCAGTTTGTACAATTATATATTTAGAAAACTATAATATAAACTTTATTTTTTATAGAGTTTCATGAATTGGAGAGTCCCTTCTCGCTTACTGAACCTGGATGGCGGCGGTACGTCTGAATATAATAAGAATAAAAATTACGTATAGCAATAAAAGTATAGCATTAATATAAAAAATACCCAAAAGTTAGAATTTTCCTTGCTCAGAAGAATGAATATACTTTCACGATCATTCTCCCCACAGATTCGATTTTTTAACTCAAGTTTATTGGGGTTCAAGTTAATTTCAATTTGCATGCTCTTCTTTTTATAGAAAAAATCATAACCGATGAAAATAAGAGGAGTCCAAATGCCGCTAGTGCAAGAAATATTTCAGAACGTGCAACAGCGCAAACCATAAGATCTCTGAGTTCTGTCAGCTTAAGCTCGAATATTAAGAGAGTCGACAGAAAACAATCCGAAAACAAAGTTGAAAACAAAGTTAGCCAGATAAAAGAAACAAAAACGAGGGGCAATGGTATGAAAATAAAGGACGGGGATCATAGTAAACATAGCAAACATGATGCAAAACAGGACGAGAATGACGATGAGAACAATGTTACAACGGCCAATTCGAAAATCCTCAAACCGATTACATTAAAATTAGGTAAGGATCGTATTGCAACCCCTAAAGAGAAAAGTCACATGCCAAGCAAGACACAATCCCACGAGAATCCCCTACGAAATTTTACGCAACGAAAGACCGAAGTAATACTTGATGAAAATAAAGTAAAAAATGATGGAGGTCTTAAATTACCTGATAAAGTTTCAGGAAAAGTTTCAGAGTTTAAACTACAGACGACGACGGATACAAATTCTAAGATGCAGGAAGAAAATAACCATAATGAAGATAAGATACGAAAAGAAGGTACTGGAATTGATACAAAAGGATGCACCAAAAGATTCCTAAAAGGTAGGAGTGCTTATTGAAAATTGTAACCTAGCCGTGGTATTCGTTTATTATAGTCTAATATGTTGGTACATCAGGCCCATAAAATTTTATTTATGTATTTTATAACGATGTAAATAAGGCAATTTGATTATCTAAGGAGCGTTTTACAGCAGGTCGATATTTTTCATTCGAAGTTCGGGTCTCGTGGTGAAACCATATATAACTGACTGTATAACTTTGTTCCCTATTGATTTTGGTTGTTTTCGCTTATAGAGACAAAGATGAAAGGTTCTATGTTAAAATACAAGCAAAACAACCCGCAGATTCAGGTAAGTAATGTAATTTCTTATAACATCAAGAAGACTGCAATTACCTTTGCAGTGTGCTTTTTCACTAAAACCGGCTTACATCATGAAATTATTCAGGTAAATAATTCTGCACTACCAACGCTGAATGCTGCAGAGAACAGAACATCTGTAAAGGTAGATACTGACGTATTCTCTTTGACGTATTATAAGCTATACAGCTGATAGTCTAGCTAGTCATACCAAGGTATTATTCCATGCATGGAAATGAACAGAGAGTAAAATCGTCTCTCGATTATAACTCGATTAAGGCGACTCAAATGCAGAGCGAATACCCTGGGGACGAGGTTAGCTAATAACACGGTACACTAAGGGTGAAATAAAGACATCCCCCGTCATTCACAGGCTGTTATTTTGTGCATCGAACTTCATTTTCCCAAACATTTCTTCTTGCTATAGCTATCTCACACACCTGAGAGAATGGATAAGATATTTCATTGGATACAGAAATCAAGTGGGAAAGGTAGCATTTCATTATTTAAACTGCTTTATATTTCACTATTTGTTTAAATATATTAACTTCTTTTCATCTAGAACGGGAAGTGGCATTTAATTTACTGTCTACGTTCAGCACTAGTGAGAAATTTCAAACCAAAACAGCAAAGAAGAAGGAAAGAGTGAAAATTACACTGCAAGTGTTGGAGAGGTTTGTCACTATTATGCTTTCGAATTGTCTGTTGGTGCTTTAAGCTACTGTATAATATAATACTCGGCAAATAACAAGTGAAAACGTACCAGACCTCTTGTTTCAACCAGGAGTAAAATGCCCAATTCCATGGAACCAATGCAACTAAAGACGTCGAAACGAGATTCAACTGCAATGAGACTTGATCACAGAGAAAGCTATAATAGGCTTGTGAAACAAAGAGAGAAAGAAGAGATGAAGACATGGCATCATGTACCATTGTACCATCACAGTAATACTAGTAACAGAAGCGCGCTGTTTCTCCAACCATCAAAAAGATATCAAAGTCATTTCTCAATCCACCCAGATTGGGGCCTTCATTCACAAGCGAGATTTACGAAGTCGATAAAAACATAGTGTACTTGTACATAGTAACATTAACTAAGTTGCATGTTTTGGTTTATTTCAACCTCTAAAACACACCAGTATATTGAGAAACTGTAGTTTATTGTAGAGTCAGCATCAATTAACTTCCGAAGCTTGAATTATAAGTTCTGTAAATGCATCAAATTCCAAATTCAATTCTTCCCGGATAGTATCAAAATTAATGATCAGTAAGAGTTCGTCATTAAAATATTTTTTGCCCTTTGAACACATTTTCACCTCTTCATAAAAAGTGCGTGCTCTGCTAGGCGTGAAAGCGATCCAATTTTGAACAAAATGACTATTTTCTTTTAATTGTTTGCGCCGCGTGAAAAAGCTGAATTAACCCTACGTCATTTCATCTCTCAATCAACCTCGTGCCCAGGGTGAGGTTGTAGACCTCTCAATATATTCTGATAAGGCGGGATTAAACCCGTGGTCAGGTTGCGAAACCCGAGGAAAAAGGTTTAAATTTTATATTGAATTGTAAACATACAATGAGCTTTCATTCAGAATAAACCTGACACTTGCTCATATAAATATGTGAATATTTTAAATGTACCTTTTCAGCAGAAACATATTTTTCCTAGTCCTCGATATCCAAGCCATATTCTTCATACATCATTTTAGTCGTTTTCCCTTCAATATCCGCTATAAAGACAAGAATTGACAATGAATAATTCTAAAGACAAATATAATTACACAGGATATAAAATTACGAGTTGGCATGTCCTTAGGTAATCTTATAAAATAAATAAATCTTGTCAATTTTATCTTCGATCACTTCAAGAGAAAATGATGATCGTAACAGTCCAATAGACTTGAAACTATCACAATCACAAAATCACAATCTTCAAAGGAAATTTTCATTTCTTTATATACTACAATACTGGATACTGCTTTGACTTTGTTTCTATGTGCACACGTTAAAATTTTTGAGCATTTTCATTTTTGTTTTCATGCCAAAACCGTTTCAAACAATAGAAGTTGAAGCTAATTTAACATATTGAGCATAAGTTCTCTTGTTTAAACGATGAACCAGACAAAAGGATTTTGAAGACGCTCAAAATCGTGTGACGCTCTCGTGTGCATGCACACAGCCTGTGTTCAATTTTACCCTTTATGCACATGGTAAAGCACCACGCTTACCAATTTTCCCCAGCAAAACCTGTCCTACATCTTTAATTTCATTATATTCATGTAGTTTATCAATATGCATCTGTAGTTCGTCTTCAGAATATTCTATTTCCAGTTCATCTATTTCTTTGTCAATATTAGCAATTCTGTCTTTCAAAATATCAACATTGGAGCCTGCTGTTTGAGCAAATCCGTCACAACGTTTCCCAGGTAAGTCTAACAGCTACAAGAAATAAATCCACACATGAAATTTTTGATGATTACATAGCTAGGTTAAGGTCTGATGTATCAAGAACTAATCAAGGTCTAATCCACCCAAGTATTAGTTAAGATTTGATCAATCACAGAAGCTAATCCAAGCTCTAATCCACCCAGGTATTAGTTGAGATCTGATCAATCACAGGAGCTAATCCAAGCTCTAATCCACCCAGGTATTAGTTAAGATCTGATCAATCACAGGAGCTAGTCAAGGTCCAATCCATCATGGAAGCTAGTCATTTAGGTCTGATCCATTGTGGCCGGAAGCTTATGTTGATTAAGGTTTTATCCAAGCAAGCTAGTTAAGGTCTGATCTATCACGCAAGCTAGTTAAGGTATGATCTATCAAGCAAGCTAGTTAAGGTCTGATCTGTCAATAAAGCTAGTTAAGGTCTGATCTATCAAGCAAGCTAGTTAAGGTCTGACCTATCAAGCAAGCTAGTTAAGGTCTGATCTATTAAGAAAGATTGATGAGGTCTATCTATCAAGCAAGCTAGTTAGGGTCTGATCTATCATGCAAGCTAGTTAAGGTCTGATCTATCATGCAAGCTAGTTAAGGTCTGATCTATCATGCAAGCTAGTTAAGGTCTGATCTATCATGCAAGCTAGTTAAGGTCTGATCTATCACGCAAGCTAGTTAAGGTCCAATCTATCATGCAAGCTAGTTAAGGTCTGATCTATCATGCAAGCTAGTTAAGGTCTGATCTATCAATAAAGCTAGTTAAGGTCTGATCTATCACGCAAGCTAGTTAAGGTCTAATCTATCATGCAAGCTAGTTAAGGTCTGATCTATCAAGCAAGCTGGTTAAGGTCTGATCTATCATGCAAGCTAGTTAAGGTCTGATCTATCATGCAAGCTAGTTAAGGTCTGATCTATCACACAAGCCAGTTAAGGTCTGATCTATCATGCAAGCTAGTTAAGGTCTGATCTATCACGCAAGCTAGTTAGGGTCTGATCTATCAAGCAAGCTAGTTAAGGTCTGATCTATCAAGCAAGCTAGTTAGGGTCCGATCTATTAAGAAAAATTGATGAGGTCTATCTATTAGAAAATGCAGTTGAGAAAAGATAAATTGGCAGAGCTAATGCATTATGTCATATGAATCTTTGATAATTAATACAATGACTGATTTCCACCTCTATCAACTGATAGCAGGTTTAGTGAAATATGAGAATGCATATATATACTATCAGAAGAAAAAACTGTCTATAAATATGGAAAGATGCAATAGCATTATATTAAGCAATGTTCAAACAGGATACTTACTGGAGATTTGAAGGGTTGTCTCAACCTTGATCTTGATTTTGGTCTACTATCACTGCAAAATAGACACCAGTAAACTAATATTAAACCTTGTGTCAAATATGACTGGCAAAATCACTTGCTAAAATTTAGTGGATATATAGCTATATATTTTCTTGAAATTTTATGTAGAAATGTTGATGTGATCTTTAAAATTATATATTATACCTTGTTGGTGTGGAAAAGTTCGATTTCTCTTCATGATGGGTGTCAATTTTCCCAGCCATATACCATGATAACTAAGGAATAATATTTATTAAAAAATAAACCAAAGAACCCCAGACATATTTTCCCAGGCTGGAGTTGTTCAAAGCCTGACTATTAACTTGATTTGACTTTGACATTAATGTATGTAGCCGACAATTTAAAAAAATAAAGGTAAAAAGCAAATTCCGAATAAACAAGACATCTTGAGAATCTAAATATAATTCAAACAATTGCTTTTTACTTTACTTTGTCAATGTATGTATTTCAGGAGTTTCGGCTTCCGGGAAAAAAATCTCTTTTGAACCAGGAGTATTACGTCTGATACAAGTCAGAAAACCTATTCAACTTTATAAACTGTTGGAATTTGACTTGTGGAGTGTGAATTCATATTAATCCACTAAATCCAGCCATCCAGGGTTATACAAATTGCAAACTAGTTTTTGAACAATCATTGAATTACTAGTATTAACACATTTAGAAAAAACAATCGTACTCACATTCTCCTTTCTTAACAACTGAAAGTTTAATTGCAAAAGTAATTTGCTAAATACTAGCGCGGAAAAAAAAGAGGCAAATTTATTTAATTTTTATTTTTATCTGCTGTGTTTTCAATTTACAAATTTCCCGCATTTAAGAAGCGACATTTGCTTCGGCGCATTTTTTGACGCAAAAAAGTTGAAAAAACGCAGCCCAATTATAACCACTAACATAAACCAACTGACAGTTCTCAGGCTGAAGGCACTAACGAGAATGCAGAGTTGACTGTCTGAATGTCTTTGTCGCTGTTTTACTGCTGTAAGGTTGATGAAGATGTTTGATGTTTATCAATGATTTCTGGTATTGTTTAATTCAGAGACTCATCCATGCAGAGACTGGGGAGAGTATTCAGGGGTTAATTAAGGTGGTTTTTAGTCGATATAAACTCTTTTTCGAACCATATCCGTTCCATATATGTTTAATGACAGTGTTTTTTGTATGTAAAAAAAAATTTGGAAAGAAAAAATATTTTGGAAAGAACCTAAAATCACTCAAAAGAGATCATCCAGCTCATGCCACAATCTAACCTGGTGATACAACCGCCTGCAATATACCAAGTTGATTACAACTGCGAAAGGTGCAAGGACAGTTGCTATAGGAAGAACTCCCCCCATAACTCACATCTTAACGGCCGTCTAAGGGGGAGATGCACTACGGCCCCCAGACCATGATGTATGTGCACCTAACCGTTACGTCTCAGTGAGAAACAGAGTATGCATTGCCACACGCCTAGCGCGTCATAGACGAATCAGCTACAGTGGCTAGCCTTGAGAGCGAAGATAAATTTAACGTATTCAAGCTTTTACTGGTCTCGGGAGGCGGTCCCTAACAAGTATACGCACAGAAAACGACTAATAAGGCACACGCTTGGAAATGTCAAGATTTAAACGCCTAAACGTTTTTTAAGTTTTTTTAGCGAAAAATTTTAGTGTTTTTATATTCTTTTAGAAATTTTAGTGTTTTGAAACAATCCTTGTTTCTCATCGTGTCTTCTGGATTGTCTATGGTTAGAAACATTGACAATGGCCTTGGGAATGCTGTCTGCTTTGCTGGGCGGAGCTGTCAAGGTTTGTGAATAAGATTTGTAAAAGAACAGTTTTTGCAAAATAATTCTTGTTGTATTTTGAAGGAAGAAATTCCTTGGATTCGTTGGGCGCTGAAGTTCCCGTTATGTTATATTCTTTTGCCATACCTTATTCTTGTTTTCATTCAACTTTTCATTCAAGGTCGAAAGATCAGGTTTCGCTAAACTTCAAACGCTGACCCCAATCCTACGAGAAATCGCCGAGAGTCATGTTGAAGAGGAAATCAAGGAACAAGCTAACGACTTGATTGATGGTTGTAATTCTCACGAAAACAAACGTTTTACGAGAAAAGAGAAACGTTTCACACGAGAAAACAAACCGACTGAGTGGAGGAACGAAGATAAAAGGCAATAACGCTGTTGACAGAGCGAAAGAACTCAATATTGAAGCTGAAGATTGTGAAGGTGATTCAGATTTAGGTAAAAAGATAGTATTTATTGTTAAAATCATTGCATAGTTGTAAAGCCTGTTTTTCATATGTCGCGTAATTTCTCAGGGATGTTTTGCGATCCATTGTCGGTGATAAATGAAGTATACTATTTCTTAAGATATAAACTAAAGTTTTTTATGTGTCGGTGATTACCGACAATAGCTATGGCGCGATGAATTACGACAATATGAAAACCAAGCCTATGCAATCTTCACGTTCTTTATAGATAAACATATAAAAGTTGACTATACTGTACGTTCGCTGTGCTGGATAACGTGTTACAGCTATCATTTATTTCTTTCTGCAGATTTCGACACAGCATTCGAACAGCTGTGTGATCCATTGTTACCAGTGCGTGGTCATTCGCTGGTAAGGTTGGGAAATCTACTGAAAGCTCGCGATAAGGCAGCCATAGCAAAGGTCGATATTTTCGTCAAAACTTTTTGTGATATAGTCTCAAACATGAGGACAGCTATATTTATCTCGCGGCTGTTGAAAGCCTGGTCACTGCTGCTGATGTTCGGAGCGATGATGTCATACCTTAATTGCAACTATGGCGGATAATTATTGCTTTTCCAAGCAGGTTAGTAAATGGCCCACAATTTTTTTCGATTTGGTAATGATAAATGTATACATATGAAAAATTTTCTGTTGAATGTTAGACTTATCTTGCTTTTACATCCTGCTAACTCAGGCTGCCCTGAATGCAACAATTTTTATGGAGATCCTTGAGATCTATGGTTACATATTTTTGTGCGAATGTCTTCCAAAGATCCTTAAAACCAAGTGAAAAAAATTTCATCAGTTAAACTTTCATGTATTTCCCCAGACCTGCGTGTGTAATTTTCAAATAATGGTAATCTTGTTTAATATTCTATAAGCAAATATACTTATATGTTCCATCTTTAGAATAACCGACGCCGCAGAAATTGGTGTTTATGAAGTTTCAACGCGAAAATCTAATCACTGGTTCACATTGTGCATTTCTATATCGCTATCAAAGAGAAAACTATTCAATAACTTTAAAAAGTTTGGTTTTTCTTCCCAATACGCATTCTGCCATCTTCATCGTTTGTCAGTTTATCATGCACATCTGACAGCTGTTAAATGGCCATTTTAAGGCTTTAGGTGTACACAAGGTTATTAATTCAGATGATTCGTTTTTGCCGTGGGCAAGCTTCAAATCTTTTGTGCAAGACATATTTTCTTGAATATTTATAAATCTTTTTTCTCACCAAGTTTGAAGCCTAAGTATTGAGAATTGCGGCTAAGTATTTTTCAATTTTACCAATTTTTTTCAATTTTATGACTTAGCTATTATCCTCGGCTGAACACCTGCGTCAAAGTTTGCCATGCTGTCTTAATTGAAATTTTAAAGCGTTGTTTAGCAAACGTCTACGACGACAACTCAAGTTATATAAGGTGGGTAAAAAAGCCTAATATTTGACGCTAAGTATTTTATCAGCACACAGGAGAATATAAGGAATTGATATAATGTTTTCAAAAGAAAGGACTCGTTTAAGTAACGCGAACATACAGACTTTTGCGAGAAATTTCTTTTGATTTCCAAGAGGTAATTTATTGCCTCTCCAAACACGAAGTTTCAATGTGAATTGACAGGCATATATTCATTTTTATACTAGAAATTTTCTTGAAATAATGAAGAGATCATTTTCCAAATTTAACTCACTGAACTGTGTCTTTTTATTTTCATCAAGGAAGACTGCCCATTTTTGGTACAGTTTCGACACCAAGGGCCTTGCCAGCAAGGGAGATATGCGCATTCTTCATTCGTCACCGCGAAAGATTCTCGTTTTAGTTAATTGGTTATTCTTTAGTGCTGAAGGTAAGGCCTGTTTTCCACTTCAATCGTAACGTAACGTAGCATATTTCTTTGTTTCCGAAGTATTCGATCAGAACTAATGACTTTAAAAAAATGAGATACGCTACGTTTCGCTACGATACGATTGAAGTGGAAAACGACCTTAAAAGGAATTTGTAATACCGCAGTTTAATTACTAATATAACCAAACGCCAGACAATAGACTACTAAAGTTTATTGTAGAATGCCATATCTACTTCTTTGGCTACAGAACGTGAGAACGAGTTCATAGTATACTAAAAACTACTATTCTGATTTAATTTTTTTTTTCAGCTTGCTCTCCAACCGGTGAGCCATTTTCTAAATTGTTTTCTTACATATTTTCCAAGTCTTCAAACAACACTAAAATTGAACTGCATATTAAATAAGCCTGAATCTTTTATATTTCCGCAGCACCTCCGCCGACTATTTCTGAAAGCCGAGGTAAGAACAGTGGCATATGAGTAAAGATAGTGTAGGAGTATATAGTAAAGATAGTGTAGGAGTATATAGTAAAGATAGTGTAGGATTGTAGGTTTCCTCCTGTAGTCCTTCTCCGGTTTCATTAATAAAAGATGATGATCTTCACTGCCAAATAATTTTATTGACGCGTTAAACATTTCAAGGTCACAACACTTTGTTTCTTAGGTAACCCTGACTGCAATTTTACAACTGGAATATGCAACTGGAGGAATCTAAAAACTCCAAATACTGACACCGAGCTTGCGTGGATCATCGTAAACCGGACGACTGATCAGTACTCCTACCTGTTACCTCAACAAGGTTAGTAGGGCACACGGCTTCCCCCCTCGCTCGCCCCAAAAGCAAAAGGGTAGTGGGGCTACCTCCCCCCTTTCTTTCCCGGGTTCGTGCTCCCTGGTAACATCCTGTAAACACCCGCAATTACAATACACTTTTCATTCGCGTTTAGGCTCAGAGCCTGGTTATGCCTGGCTGGACTATGAGGATGATTTCAATTATTTTCGCGGTGAAAAAGGTGAATTAAAAAGCCCGCTCATTACAGGACCCAGCTGCATGTCTTTTTATTTTCATCTTCCTGGAAACGAAACTGGCTTCTTGGATATCAAAACTAAAATTGGAAACGAAGATTCGAAGTTGATATTCAGTCGCTATGGGAACCATGGTATGACGTGGCAACGAGCTCAGCTGTACATTAATATCACTGAAGAGTACCAGGTGTGGCTTAGCATTGGGAATAAACTAAGCGAAATTCTTTATGAAAGTCGATTAAGAATCATATCTTATTTATCCAGTGTCACTACAGGATGAAACCTAAACTAAACTAACTTTATTTATACTGGATAGCTCTATCTGTTCTAAACTGTTCTTCCTAGAGGTCTAGTAAGGATTATCTCTTATTGATCCAGTGTTACTACAGGAGGAAACCTAAACTAAACTAATTTTATTTATACTGGATAGCTCTATCAGTTCTAAACTGTTCTTCCTAGAGGTCCAGTAAGGATCATCTCTTATTGATCCAGTGTTACTATAGGAGGAAACCTAAACTAAACTAACTTTATTTATACTGGATAGCTCTATCCGTTCTTTATTTCTCTGTTAAGGTCCTTGTCTCAGGAATTGTGGGTGATGAGGTTGCAAGGCGTGCTCCAGGAATCGACGATATTTCATTTCGCAACCATTCGTGTCGTCAAGAACCCAAAGGTATTTAATAGATTAGGTTTGGATTGGGGATTGGGTGCTTCGGCGTATTAGATAGCGAATACATAACCGCGTGTGATTCAAGTTTATCTGATTTGACTCGTATCAACAGATTAAGTAGTAAGTTCACATTTTAGAAGTACAATTCAACTGCTCAATGAGAACTCATCGCTGCGGTTGGCAGGACGAAGGATCGGCTTTGAAGACGAAGGCTGAGTACAATAAGGGTACGTCGTGTAATCGTGGTGTTGCAAGTCAAGAGTTTTTATTACAATATTAGGTAGCCCTAGTTGTTAGAACTGTCGACTACTACCGAATACCCCTCCATTTTAGATTTGAAGAGATATGTTTGGAAAGCATTTGGCGGCGGTAGGAAAAAGATTTATCTCACCAGCTCAAGAATCGCTGCTCAGCTCAAGAATGGCTGCTTTCGCTTTAGTTATTTAGTTGATGCCAAAACTTGGAAACTTGCTTTTCGTGGGCGGCTTTTTGTATTTGTTGAAAGTTTAGATGACGGCGAGAAGTTTCCAGTTTGGAGTCGTAATCTTTATTATGGTGCTGGTTGGGACGATATTGCCATAAAAATCTCGCGGCCTGCTGGTCAGTATAAGGTAAACGTATTTACATAGCTCTATCACAGTGGTAATATTCTGCTGCTCGTTGACTTTGAAAACAGTAAATTTCTTGGAAGTATAAACGATGGTAATAACTTCAAATCCACCTTCGTCAGGTTAGCCACGCCATTGCTCATTAGTTCAAATTAAACTGCTCTTATGAGTGATCATTTCGATTTTTCTTTTTTTAGTTTATCGTTGAAGGAGTCGAGATTACGTCAGATTTTCTATTTCGCGATTTTACGCTTTCCCCAAATTGGGAGAAATGTCATGGCAAAGGTAATGATATTTCTAATTTTCAACCTGACGATTGTTAGTCAGCAAGATACCTGAGAATATAGCCTTCTGAATTAGAAACGTCGTTATTTTACGACATGCAAACCTAGTCTACAGCTGGAATCATCTAATAAACAGTAAATATTTCTTTAGCTGAGAAAAAACTGTACATTACGTCAAACCCAAGCCAGCCGGAGAAACTTTCAATCTCGGAACGGACCGGTTACTGTGGGTCATTTCCCCGGTGGTACATGATTGCCGATGTTCTTCCAAGTTCTGTCTATCCTCAAGCCGTGTATGTCTATAATAAGAATGACTACCTCATACTCAACACTGACCGCAATGATGCCCTTTATGGTAGTTTACAGCATTACTTCTATGTTGCCAATGATAACTCAACCAACAGTCTCAACCAATCACACGCCGTGTACATGATGACGAAGGATTTTCACGGCATCACCCATGTTACGAGTCTCCTCCCCAGGACAAGTTTCAGCAGCGCGGATAATACTTTCTTTGTTAAGAAATTTGTTGACATTGAAGAAGGTACGGGTTTAGGTTGCCTTCTGTAGTAACACTGGATCAATAAGAGATGCATGATCCTTACTGGACTTCTAGGAAGAACAGTTTAGAACTGATAGAGCTATCTAGTATAAAAAATTGCTTTTTTGACATATTAAAAATTATTGTTGTATCTTGAATATTCAACGCAGATGAAAGCAAGTGTGAACATGGGTGGACGTATTTGAATGGAAAGTGCTATAAGATATTTTGTGAAAGTAATACGAAATGGAACGAAGCCAGAGTAGGCTGCATTGAAAACGAGGCTGATTTAGCATCTCTTCCAAACGATAAATTGAAAGTCGCTACAGAGTATTTTAACCAAATACAAGTTCGGCTTTTTGGGATACAAACTGTAGCTGTCGGCTTACACAGAAAAGGTCTGGAGTGGAAATGGCTCAATGGTCTTGGGTATAATGGCACTGTGTCGTCCAAGCGAGTGGATAAAGGTCGGTTGGCCTGGAAAAATGAAATGAATGATTGGATTCTAGAAGCAGCTATAGATCCTTTCCATTCAACCTTTGAAAAGCCCTCGGATGTATTTTTTTGCGAGAAAATGAGAGGTAATTTAGTCCGACTCGTGATTTCAAAACATCTTGCCTGGTTTCTGTGGTAATGACACAAATACAAGACTCTGTCCATGAAAATTGTCATCATTGACCCACTTTGTTGTGTTTTGCAGCTGTTGAAATTGTTTTCATTTTTTAGAAAATGCTGCTTATCGTAAACCAATAAACGAATCAAGTTCTAAATCGACGTCGGGGCCAGGTTTCCTTGTTGATGCTGACGACAAAACGTGCATCGCCATCGCTAAGGTTTTGTAGTTGGTTTTTATAATTTGCTGTAATCATACCAGAGGCAGAGCAGAATGTCTCCTGTTTGATTGAAGATAGCTACAATCCTTCCATAAGAATCAGTATTACTCTAATTCCTCCAGAACAAGGGGCCATCTCTTCGTTATTAATTTCCTTTATCATGCTAACAAACACCTTTAAAGAACCATTTTGAATTCTTAGCAAGCACAAGCAGTTTGGATGCATATCGACTTGCAGTCTGAGATGAATATTTATCGTATCAAGTTGACGCCGTCACCGAACCAAAGACAAACAACAATTTATGTCTATTTAACACTCAACGAAACCGTCTTCCAGTCGAAGGCTGTTGTTCTTCCAAATAAAGCCATAAACATATTTTTGGAGCCACCGACTTTAGCAAACCTTATTAAACTTAAAATGAAAACAAACCTGACTGAGATTTTGCTCTGCGAGATTGAAGCGTACGAGACAGGTACGAAAGTTGTACAACTCTTATTTTCATGTCAATTATTGTGTCTGTGAATTCTTCAGCAACATGCTGAACTTAAAAAACTTAACCAAGCGTCTATCTCAGCTGGTTTCTTACTCTGTGCTTGTTTTGTGAGAAGTTAATCTCGCAAGACTTTTCTTGGGCCAGGCTAGTTCACCCTCAGCCAAGAGTTCAGGTCAGCCTCGAACCCAGCTGATTGGAACCATAACCAAGCATATTTCTTCGTATTCATAAATTTTAGACGACTTGGATGAACTGCGGGGTGTGATGAGGTCATTCACACCTGAGCGCTCAGTGCCGGATGATCTTTCAAGCCTTGAAGAGAACAGTTACCTTACAGTTCCCGAATTCTTCCACACTTTTCCCCACTTCACAATACCTGAGCTTGTTTACCCCAGAAGAGGATTTGTGCAAACGTTGGAAGCGTATTTTATGGTAAGACAAGGAGCTTGCAAGTTTTGATTGACTGCATGTGAGGTTTTACAGTGGAATGGAAAGTGATGAAATAAAGTTGAATGAAAGTGAATTGGAGTCGAAATAGTCTCGTCGGGCTGATCTGGAATATGAAATGTTTGCAGAAATGTTATAACATTGTCTTTTTTGTAGCTAAGCGTCAGTGGAAATTTTGCATTCAAAACCAGAGGTGAAGATGAAGTGGTCTTCAATCTTTCACCAAGCCGAGAGGACACGACTTCGCCGATTATGAAATGGGAAGTTAGGTATAAATTGTTGTCCACCAGTCCATGTAAACACGTTTGATCTAAGAACAGAGATATGAGCTGATCCGACGAGACTCTGGAGTATTTATCAGTGAACTTTCTTGTTGAACAGCTTGTTTTTCTTTTCCATTTAGTAAAACCAAGAATTTATCGCCAAGCGTAAATATCGAAGCTTGTGTCCTGTACTTTTTGAAAGGAACCGTAAAACAAATCGTTGACAAATCTTTGTCGTTGTCCCCAGTTCAGCTGTCGGGCAATGGTTCTGTCGTTGTTGATATCTTCCTGAATCTATTCTGGATTTTACCAGGTGAAAAACATGGCGTGTTCATTCCTCAACCTTGTTCAGACGATGTTCGCCATGTTGTCAGGGAACTCAAAAATTTTAATAGAAATCAAATGGATATATTTAGGTGAACTACATGTTGATTTTGCGTTTGAAACCGAGGGTCATCTTAACACGATTGTTGGCAAACCTACTTTGATTACTGGTGAGTAATGAACGAACTTTGACAAAATTCTGTATGAAACCCCACTTTGAAATGAATAATGAATTTCTAGAGCAAATTAGTCAAGTATATTTGTAAATGTCCTCTCGAGCTCTACCGATCATCTCTTCGCATTGTTTATCTATTAGGTGTGTTTGAAAGTCGTTGCGTAGGGTTTTATTGTGGCTACTGTTACCTTGTCGTGTTCATGACATTTGCTGGTCGTGTTCAGTGTAAGCTGTTAAGCAACCAAACCACCAGCCATACTGGTTCAATTATGATAAATTTGGCTGACTGGGTTTTACAACCTGGTATCTACGATGTCAAGGTATTTTGTTTACAATAGATAGCTTTTTCAGTTCTAAACTGTTCTTCCTAGACCTAGAGGTCTAGTATAAAGGGTGGAATTCTGAAATAACCATTTTTTTACGGATTTTTTTTTCCAGATGGGGTACCGAAGTAACGGAGATTGCGCAGAAATCATGAATCTACCTGAACTTGGAACAGATTCAAAATGGAAATTAGAAGTCGTTGGTCGCGTTAGGGTGAATCGTAAGTGTAAATCAATCCTCGAGCGCTCTTGAGTTTAATGAAAATAAAGCAAGTAGTCTACATATGTCATTGCACTTTACTAATTGCTAGTTGTTATTTACAAACAGCTGTTATTGCGATTTCCTGCCTGTTTACGGACAAGATCTGTGATGCAACTGTGTCACATAGTGGATGGGACAGAGTAAAGTATGCTAGTAATAATATTTCAGGTAAGGACTCCGGCCATTTTAAAACTTTTGAGAACTGCTGCATGAGAAGGTTACACCAACATGCATGATCAAGAATATATATTGCTAATTTTGACAGGTTTTGCTTTTCAAAGTTCTGCAAACAATGTCACCTCGCTGTTCTCATTTGGTTCGGTTGAAAACACTGCCATCACAAGTTTGACTGGTCTTTGTGCCAGGTTCAGATATAAGTTGTCCAATTCGTCGGCTACGACACTTTCTCTCTCGACACGCTCACGAAATGACGTTGAGAATAAAATATGGCAGCTGTCTGGAGTTCATGGAGACAGTTTGCATAATGCCTGGGTCCATTTAACTATGCCGAAAGAAACTCTTGAAGTATGTTTTACTTTGAAAGTTTCGTTTAGTTTGAAAACAAAGTGTTTTAGTTTATGCTTTTCTCCTGCATGTAGTATAATACTCGATCCAATACAATTGAATTAAAGTTTTATAACTCCATTTTTACTCACGTTCATTCGTTCCAGTTTGTTTTCAAAGTAAATCCAACAAAGGCAAACGAGACTGCATTGATATCAGATGTTCAAGTCCTTACAGACTCTTGTCCAAACCAAATTAATCCATACATGGCCAGAATCGGTATGAAGATGAGGATTACAGTGTTTAAAATCCTTATATACTTGTGTTGGATTGTTTGTGAATGATTCTGCTGTTGCACTGAGCATTGCGCAAATGAAAAACACCATTCTTTTGTGTTCCAAGGTCATTCATGTAATGATAATCAATTCAGTTGTTCCAATGGCGAATGTTTGAAGCTCAGTCAACGATGTGATGGGGAGAAACAGTGCTTAGATGAAAGTGACGAAGCAGGATGCGATTGTATTCTTGGACAGTTCAAATGTATGTTGAGTCATGAGTGTGTTTCATCGAAGAAAATTTGCAACGGAGAAAGCGATTGTAACGATGGCTCCGATGAAAGAAATTGCGGTGAGATGGTTTGAAAAGTCCAAGCAATATTCTGCAATTAACTGCCGTGGTTCACATCTGGAGCAAAAATATTCTTATTTAGATTTTTGTACGAAAAACGAGTTTTATTGCCCCAGTGGAAGATGTGTGCCATGGAGCTCTACCTGCAATGAAGTGTGGGATTGCGAAGACGGATCTGATGAACCTAACGTTTGCAGACTTTCAGAAAATGGATTAACAGGTACATATATCACATTTATTATTAAATAACCATCTTAGTCCAAGAGAAGAGCTTTGTGATGGGAGAGTTTTCTTCTGTTATCTTGTGTAGGAATGGCCTATATTTTACCTAACTGATATTTCCTGTAATTTTTAGCAAACAAAACTTGCAGTTTAGATAATCTTGGATGTCTTTACGATGAGCAACTGAATAGTACAGATTGTGGATATTATCAAAGTAAGAAATGCAAATATTTTTTCCTCTAAAGACTTTTTATGCGCATGTAGTCTCGGGGGGGAAGTGGAGGCTTTACCAACTAAAACTCTTTCGGGTATTCGTTCTTTTTCAGGATGCGACTTTGAGAACGGCTGGTGCGGATGGAGTAACGTGGGCTCACGTGACTGGAGGGCCAATCAGGGGGCGACTTCATCCGAGAACACTGGACCGGAAGTTGATCATACAACTACCTCATCAGAAGGTAAGATATGATGTAATGCATATTTGCACGAAGAGAGTCTTGGCACAGAACACCAACACGTTGTAACAATCTGTGGTCCTGGAGTGATTCGTCACAACCCAGACATAGCTAACTGCTTAGAGTGGAGATTTTTCAGATTACCTTTCAAATCATTCCAGGTAGTTATCTCTATATTGAGGCCAGTACCCAAGAAGGGAACCAAGGTGACATAGCTCGTCTTCTGGGGGGTCCCTTCAACGCTGGTGCAGTATGCTTACAGTTCTACTACCATATGCATGGTCAGGATATTGGTCATTTAGCTGTGTATACAGCGTCGACTGGCAAAAAAACAATTGAAGAGGTGTTGTGGAAGCGAGCAGGTGAAGTTGACATGCGTTGGCATAAAGCTTTGGTCAATCTTGACAGCGAGAACGAGTTTATGGTAAGAATTATACCTTTACTTTTACTGGATAGCTCTATCAGTTCTAAACTGTTCTTCCTAGAGATCCAGTCAGGATCATCTCTTATTGATCCAGTGTTACTACAGGAAGAAACCTCAACAATGAACATTGTTTCATTTAGATAATCGTGGAAGGTGGTTTGGGTTCCGGATATCGTGGTGACATCGCTGTGGACGATATTCAAGTTATCAAGGGACCTTGTTTAGAAGCGTATCAAGATGGTAAGTTTTTGTTTCTCATAAACACGCTGCTTAAACTATGAATCAGACGAAGTCTTCATTTATTTAGAGGATATCTTGACATGTTCTTTTGATGAACCATGCTCTTGGAATGGACTAGAAACGTGGGAAAAGAGTTCACACAATGCAGATAATTCATCCCTTTTGGAAGGTTGCAGTGTTTTAAATTTCTTTTCTATCTTCCGAACCTCCTACAATCGAATAAAGAACCTGTGGATAGTGAGATAAGAATAACCATTTTCTTATCTTGTTTTCTAGGTTCATTTATTTACACAAAAGCTCCGTTTTCTCTCACAAAAGAAGTCAGCCAACGTTCTAGTAGCATTTCTTACCAATGTTTATCATTCTGGCATCAGCATACCAGCAGATCATGTGAAAACACGACCATTTCCGTCAGTCAACGATCTTTTGACTACAAATGGTCCATTCCAGTCATTAATGCGAGACGTTTCAATGAGAAGTGGCGATTTTCTGAGATACCGTTAAAGCAGTCAACTCAAAACTACACTGTAAGTTAACTAAACCTCGTCTTCGCTGGTTAGCTCTATAAGTTCTTAACTGTCGGAGAAAACCTAAACTAAACTAACTTTATTTATACTGGATAGCTTTATCAGTTCTAAACTGTTCTTCCTAGAATTCCGATAAGGATCATCTCTTTTTATCCAGTGATAGTCTTACAAGATGAATCACAACCTAATCTTCTTTTTAAAGCTATCACTGAAAGCTACTGTGAATGAGGAATCCCTGCAAAGCTGTGTGGTGGCCATTGATGAATTGAACCTGTCACCTAAACCTTGTACAAACATTAAAGAAGGTAATTGAGATATATTAAGGCCATTGTTATTCGAGTCGAAGAATTTGCGTGGAATATTTAGAGAAGAAACTGTCGCAATTTTATGCATATATTTTTAAAAATTATTGTTTTAGGCTTGGATGTTCTGGCTCGTATCGATTCGACGTTTTACTATGGCGTTGAAATCAATTACACCAAAGATATGGTTGCCGTTTTCTTTCAAGAACCGTCGCCCCAATTCAAGCAACTTTACGACAAGCTGAATGTAAACGAAGTAGTTAAGAATATACCCGTGAATGTTTCGCAGTTGAAACCTGATTTGCGGGTTATTTTAGAGACTGAGCCTGGCGCTGCTGTTCTTGGTACGGTTATGGGCGAATATCTTCATGAAAACATCACCGTTAACAACAATAGCGCTAACATCATCCACAGCAGTAATGATTCTACTATCTCCATCCACAGAAAAACGAAGCTGGTGAATTTGACCGTCCGTCTCGATGGAAGCGGAGATATCGTGTCTGTAACACGGGGGAAAATTTGGTTGCTCCCACTACAATTGGCAGATAAAGGTGACGTTATTATTGTAAAGATATTGGTTAGGAAGATCACCATCGAGTAGTTGGTGTTTTTCTTCTCCAAAACTGTGTGTGTTTGAAATTTGCACAATCCAGTTTGATATTATATTGTTTAATTTAGGCTGGATTTGGAGGAATCCTGTGAAAAATTGCGTTGACGGAACATTCTTGAACGGCTCATGTTACAAAACAGTAAAGCAATCAAATTGGTTCGATGCTGTTGACCAGTGCAAGTTTTTTGGAGGCAATTTGCTCATTAACAGTAATTCTAACCAACTGCAGGAATTTTCAAGAAATTATGCAAACTTGGCGTTATTTTGGATATATGATGATTGGTCGGTGTTTTCGAATTCTCAGAACTATAAAAGTGTATTGTTTAATGGAACAACAGGGAAAGTTATGTACATTAATGTTTCTCGAAATGGAACTGATAGTAATTTTCTCAACGGAACATTGCGAGCGAATATGTCTGGAAACAGTGCCTTTGATGAGAGATTTAGAATGGTTGATGAAGAAGGCCCTTTCTTGTGTCCAGCGTTTTACAAGGAATATATGGTGGGGGTGAACTGCAGAAAAATGCTTTTGGGTGTGTGTGATATTCCAGGTAAGTGTGGGGGAGATAAGGGAAAGTTGGTAGGGAGGCGGGGTGAGAATGGAGTGAAGGTAGAGATTGGAGGATGACAGGAGAGTGGAAGGGTTAAATAAAGGAAGATGTGGGAGGATAATAAGGGTGTGGAGGGGAAGAAATTGGCAGATGATAGGGAAGGAGGAGAGGAGAGGGGAGAAGAGGGATGTGAACGAAGATGAGATGGATGATAATGGTGTGGAGAGGGTTGAATAAAGGAAGAGGAATGGAGGGAAGGTGAATGAAAGAGGAGATTAGGTGATGATAGGTAAGACCAGGGGAAGAAATGGGGATAGGAGGGTAGAGTGCATATTCACGAGATACTATAGTTTCTATAATCTAATAAAAACTTCATCATCCATAGTCAAACAAACGCACATTATGTGTGAAGATCTAAAACACGACGTAATTCATTGTCCGGACGATGGAAGCGTTCTAGAGATACACGAAGCCTACGTTGGTCAAGACGTGCAACAGCTGTTTCAATGTCTCGGTTACGATGTTAGCGGCTTTCAACATCCATGCAGCAATTTTCCTGATATGACAAAAAAGACGAAACTTAAGTGCGACGGACGAAAGTCATGTAATATTAGCAAGTCTCTGAGTGATCCGAAGATTCTTTCGACCTGCTGGAGTCATAAAAAATATTTTAACGTCGAGTTTGGTTGCCGAGTTAATTCAACCAAAGGTAAGAGGGTGACGCCATGAAGTTTTGAAATCACTTGTTCATTCAGCCTTCTAGGAACACAGGATGTAACAATGATAAGCTGCAGATCGACTGCTTGTGATTTATTAATAATCGTAGGAAGAACAACTAATGTGTGTTTCTTCTGTATTCTCTAAGATGCTGTTTTGAGGCAACCTTGGTGTCCTAATGGTTACACATCCCGCGAATCAGAATGCTACAAATTTCCCAATGAGAAATTGATGTGGAAGGATGCTAAAACGTTCTGTGAGATTGATGGAAGTCATTTAATGTCGATTAACAGCGAGAGAGAAGATGAAACGTTGAACTCAATGATGAGGTCCTTGGGTGTAAGCGAAGTTTGGGTTGGCTTAAATGACATTACTTATGAAGATATATTTGAATGGTCAGATAATAGTGAGGTAGGATCAAGGTGTACTTTAGATCAAATCAGACCAGCCTGACAAAGTCATCAATGATCCGACTTACCTGACGATAAACTTGGCTTTGAAAACCTAGGTTGGTTATACCAATTGGTCCAGTTCAGAAAGCTTTGGTGATCACTATAGTCAGAACAAGGACTGTGTCGCTGTCAGTGATCTTGGTTGGAAGGTGAAGAAGTGTACAGAGAAAATTAACTTTGTTTGTGAATATGAACTTTGTGAGTGAAATATTTAGTAATCAGTGGCGTAGCCAGCCTGACGATTTTGTCCCGCTATGTAAATTTCGTTATTCATTTCTTTAGAAATTCATTGTTTTCAAAGTCAATAAGCACCAATTTAATATTAGCATAGCGGGACAAATCGTCGGGCTGGCTACGCTACTGTTAGTAATGAGTTATGACTTCATGGTGTGATATGAATGTGTTATGCTTCTGATAGATTATTTTCTTATTGTTAGCAATGGGATCCTGTGACTTTAAGTCAGATTTCTGTGGTTGGAGAAACGAATCACAACTTGACAGCATTGCTTGGATTCGCGAGTATGAAGAAGAAAATGCTTCTATTTCCTCCAATTTTTCTGCTGGTGAGTGTATATATGTTTAAGAGCCTCTGAAAAGACCGCTGTAAAAGATCAAAGATGTCTGAGATATTGAGCATGAGTAAAGAAGCACAGTAAGCTCTCTAAGGCCAAATTCATCTCATATATTTCAGGAGGAAACGATTCTTCTCTTGCGAACAATCACAGTTCTCTCGAGCTCAACCCTTACCGAGTTTCGCTCTATCGTGACACCACTGAAAGACACGTCATCTCGACTCTCCTCTCGCCAGAGATGGCGTCCACAATCACAGAGAGCTATGGCGTGTGTTTGCAGTTTTCATTCCTTCTAACTGGTGAAGAAACTTCATTGAAAGTCATTCTTGATAGAAGAGGAACAAGGATGGAAACTTTGTGGCATGTGCGTGCTTCTAATCAAATTTCCACATGGAGAGAAGCGCGCGTGTCCCTTGGGATAGTTTCCAAATTTAGGGTAACTTATTTGCAAGCTACTTTTTAGGACCGTCAACTTTCAATCGCGACTAAGCGCGGCGCGATTGTTTTCTTGCAGGTCCGGTTAACTGGAGAACTGATGGATCACGACAGCAAGATAAAGATTGCCAAGATTGCATTCAACCCTGGCTTGTGCAAAGCATTGCCTGTTGGAGCTCAAGGCGAGCGCACAAAGTGGACCTCTAGGAAGAACAGTTTAGAACTGATAGAGCTACCCAGTATAAATAAAGTTAGTTTAGTTTAGGTTTCCTCCTGTAGTAACACTGGATCAATAAGAGATGATCCTTACTGGACCTCTAGGAAGAACTGTTTAGAACTGATAGAACTATCCAGTATAAATAAAGTTAGTGTAGTTTAGAGGTTTCCTCCGGCCGTAACACTGGATCAATAAGAGATGATCTTTACTGGACCTCTAGGAAGAACAGTTTAGAACTGATAGAGCTATCCAGTATAAATAAAGTTAGTTCAGTTTAGGTTTCCTCCTGTAGTAACACTGGATCAATAAGAGATGATCCTTACTGGACCTCTATAGGAAGAACAGTTTAGAACTGATAGAGCTATCCAGTATAGATAAAGTTAGTTTAGTTTACAGTAGGTTTCCTCCTGTAGTAACACTGGATCAATAAGAGATGATCCTTACTGGACCTCTAGGAAGAACAGTTTAGAACTGATAGAGCTATCCAGTATAAATAAAGTTAGTTCAGTTTAGGTTTCCTCCTGTAGTAACACTGGATCAATAAGAGATGATCCTTACTGGACCTCTATAGGAAGAACAGTTTAGAACTGATAGAGCTATCCAGTATAGATAAAGTTAGTTTAGTTTAGGTTTCCTCCTGTAGTAACACTAGATCAAAAATAGATAATCCTTACTGGACCTCGACGAAGAACAGTTTAGAACTGATAGAGCAAATCAATTCTAAATCCATGGATAATCATCTCTTTACAGATTTAAGTGCAAATATATTAATCAGCACTAATGGCATCTTAACATCGCCTTACTACCCTTCGTCCTATCCGAACGACATCAACCAACAGTGGCGTCTGAGAACCATGAAGGGTAAACGGATTCGTCTCGAGTTTCTCTGCCTGGATCTTGAGTGGGACCCGAGATGCCAAAACGATCACATTATGATACTGGATGAAGCGCAGCCGAAGAAACAGTTCTACGTTTGTGGAAAAACTATCCCTGGCGATATTAAATCAAAATCTAACCAAGTTCTTGTTGCTTTTCGAAGCAATCACGAGATTCGTCGAACAGGATTCAAAATTAGATACAGCGTAGTTAAAGGTAAGGAGGCGATAAACTGTGCAGGCAAAATTCTCAACTTTTAGTGGTGGAAAGTTATCGGGGTTTTCTACCGCTCTAATGATTAATCACAAACCCAAATTACAAGCTAATCTTTCTATGTTGACAGACGAGGAAGAGGATGCTTGCTCGTTTGCCGATATCCCAGGTATAGACTTTATTATTTTATGTTTTTTGTTGTTAGTTGTTTTTTGTTGTTAGTACTACATAACTGTATTGGCTCAGATCTTGCTTGTTCTTGCTACCAGAGTTGTAAGTCTTCGAAAGTAGTTCTGCAAATTTTCAATCTCTTCTGTCCAATTTTACTACGATGAGGAAGGAGAATTGAAACTGCATCTTTTAACTCTACCTAGATTGTCCTAGCGACTGTCGTTGTTATCGATGGCCCTCAGATCGGTCGAGGATCACTTTGAGCGCGGGAAAAATATACAAAATTCCTTCTGTGTTCCCTCAACACACCGCTGCAATGTAAGACATAAAACAGAAATGAGTCTTTGATTTTCTTTTGCAAGTTGAAGTCAGGATGAACGACTTACACCATTAATTTTGTATCGTTTTAGATTTTTTAGGGAGAGTTCCTTCTATAAATTGAGTGATACAGACTTCGAAAGCCTATCAGATCTGGAACTATTGTAAGCAAGGACTATTTCATTTATTTTTTGTTTAACTATACATGTTTTTACCTGTTTAAAGAGAAATTTTAATTTTTTTAGAAGTTTGAATTACAACTTCATCTCAACCATTGAAGGAAGAGCGTTTCAGAAACTCCGTTCTTTAAAAACATTGTACGTTATTGTAAAAATGCTCGATTATTTCCCCTTAATCGAAGTTGAATTGAGGTTGTGATGTGTGCTAGCTGTAAACAAATCGTTTTATAAACTTTAACCTTGCAGACGGCTTGCCCAGAACATAATTAGAAGCATTCCTGCAAATCTTTTTAATTTCAACTCGTCTCTTGAAGTTCTGTAAGTTATGAAATTGCTGTTCATCTATCTTGTTTACTGCTTTCTTTAAGTTAAAGTAGATAAAGACAACCAAATTATGCCGCACGATATTTCCTAAAACTAGAAAACTATATTTGACTAAAACTAGTCCGCCAAGAAAGAAACTCTTGTTCTTTTACCATTTCAGAGACTTGGGTGGAAACTGGATTCAGACATTAGAAAATCATCCATTCTCTTCCCTGAGCAAACTCCAAGCTCTGTAAGTACCAAGGTTTTCATTCCTGTTGTAACATCTATGCAGAAATACTTCGTTTAAAACGTCTAATCCCTAAGCCTTCTGACAGTCATTGCTTCAATCCTTGCAGGAGCCTCCGTTTCAACAAGTTTGCTGTTTTAAAAGAGGGCGTTTTCACAGGACTTCAAAACCTTACTTTCTTGTAAGAATAATATAAATTTGCAAATGAGTTTGGCTTTTACAATGGACGCGGTCTAATGGCGTATGTAATGTGATTGATTTTTTCAGATACTTAGACAACAATGAACTACAAGATATGGATGATAATATCTTCAACGAGACTGCATCGCTTCAGTTGCTGTGAGTAAAGTATACGCTCTGAAATCCTGTTTGTTTTCCTTTTATGCACAATAATGGTTTACTACAAATGTCTTCAGGCATCTTCAGCGGAATAGACTGCCATTTATCAAAAGGGAATGGCTACAAAATGTGCCCTCACTGAAGAAATTGTTAGTAAAGAAATTGTTCGTGAATGTTTGCTTTGCCTTATATTGCTGATCAGTTAGCAAATAGTTCTATTCTACTTTATATTTCCCAGGAAATTAAATGACAATGGAATTAGAACGATCGAGTCAGGATCATTCGACAAACTTCGTGAATTATCTGAACTGTAAGCCAAATCGTGTTTGAATTATTTCAAATTTGTTCTTCTCAGTGCGAACTATAGTTTCGTGTTTTTAGCGATCTATCAGGCAACGCGATTGACGATATTCCGGAAGATCTATTTACTCCTCTCACCGCATTACGATCACTGTAAGTTTTGAAAGTTCGAAGAAACTTTGTTCAGGCTCCTATAAATGCTGAATAGTTCTATGAAATATCCATGTTTTTGTTTTAGAAAAGTTGATCATTTTACGTTGTGTTGTTACGCGAAGAAAGCACAACCCAGCGTGTCTTGCACCTCTCTCGGTGACAGTGGAATCTCAAGTTGCGATGAACTTTTGAAAAACTCTGTGTTAAAATACAGTATATGGGTTCTTGGTGCGCTTGCGTTCCTGGGTAACCTGGGTGTCGTCATCTGGCGTATCGTTGGAAAGGATAAAAACCGCGTCAACTCGTTTCTACTGACAAATTTAGCCGTTTCTGACTTCATGATGGGAATCTATATGTTGATAATCGCGTATAAGGATAGGCTCTGGGACGGAGTCTATTTCAAGCACGACTTTTCCTGGCGTGCTTCTGATCTCTGTATATTTAGCGGAGTGATTTCGACCATCTCAAGCGAAGTGTCGGTATTCACGCTCTCTCTCATAACCTTCGATCGACTCATCTGTATCGTTTTTCCTTTCAAGTTTCGTAGAATGTCAATGAAACGTGCAGTTTACCTTACTACCTTCATATGGATTCTAGGAACTGCCTTGGCTGTAATCCCTTTAACGGACGATTCATATTTCCACGATTTTCGACGCCGGACACATTTCTACGGCCGCTCACCAGTTTGTCTGCCTTTTGAGCTGTCGAGCGAAAAATCTCCCGGCTGGGAGTATTCGGCTTTTGTCTTCATCGGCCTTAATGGTGCGTTCTTTATTTTTATCGTCGTTTCCTACGCTGTGATGTACAAGACAATAACCCAGGCAGGTCGAGCCGTCAGATCCACCAGATCCAACCAGGATTCCACCTTGGCTAGGAGGATGCTGTTCATAATCTTGACGGATTTCTTTTGTTGGTTTCCGGTTATCATCATAAGTATATTAGCTTTGGTGGATAGCTTGCATGACCCGAGAAAACAGGTGTACGCATGGATAGCAGTGTTTGTGTTGCCGATAAATAGCAGTCTTAATCCGCTGTTGTACACATTCTCCACGCCCTTCGCCCGCTGTTCGTCGATAAGAAGAAACAGCCACCCGTGACAAAGTGTCAGAAAAAACATCAAGGTATGAGGCTATGGGCAAATGAATGAAAGACTGAGAAATGGTTAAGATACCCTTTCATGCAGGTAGTTCAGACACAAACGACGACAGCTTATTGTAGAATACTACCTACACTGGACCACTATACGTTTGAGATATCTTTCTCAGGTACTTCAGACACAAACGACGACATAGCATTAAATGAGGTGGTATAACAACTGCCTAAATAGACAAAACACTTCTCGACGTTTCGACCTGAGGGCCTTCGTCAGAATTGGATTCTTACTAACTCTCCTGACGAAGGCCCTCAGGTGCTGCCACGCTGCTCCTTGGTTATATTGGAACAAACCGCGACAGCTTATTGTAGAAAACTACTTACACTGGATCACCAGGTTTGAGATATCTTTTTCAGGTAGTTCAGACACAAACCAAGACAGCTTAATATTGTAGAATACTATAAAACTAAACTGGAAAGGACAATCGATCTTATTTAGCTTCCAACGCAAATACGCGGTCAGCAAAAGCGAAAACAGAAAACAAACAAGCCGTAAAACCATCCGTTATTCACCGACACAAAATGTTAAACGAAGCATTTGTTGATGACGATATTGCTCCCAGTCCTATTCCACAGAGTGATTCCAAACCAAACGCTGCAAGTCAGGATGAAAAATTCAGGGGAAATCAGGCTATCAACCATTCTCATGAAGATGTAAGAAATTCATCCCGGAATCTAGAAGATATTGATGTTATTGAGCAAGCAGACGAGGTGTATGAAAATATTGAGGGTTTAAACTCAGAGACAAGCGACGAGACAGTCTCGGAGAAAGCTTATGAAAATGTCACGAATGATACTCGTCTTTGATTTCTGGCTTTTTCTGTACAAGAAGAGAACAGATGAAATAATAATTCAATGAAAAATTGATGATACTTGTTAAGATTGTGTTTGTGCATCAGAGCGATTCACTAGGAAAAAAGATTATCTGATCTGAGTGTTTTTAAAATGCATGAAATCCTGATATATTATCTTCTTATATTATAATATAACATTATAGTACGCGCATGCTGATTGGCCCAGAAGCGTGTTTCTATAACTGTGTAGAAAGATGGAAAATGTTTTTTAATAATATGGTTCCGTAATAATATTACTGCATAATTTAGTTTCATATAACACGAAGTAAGCATTCCAGTTTACTGAACAAAATGAAAGAAGTGCAATTTGCAACTCTCTGCTGTATGGATTTCAACAGCAGTCATGGTGGTGTAGTGGTTAAGACAAGTGACTGGTAAGTTGACAGGTGAAAAAAATAATAGGAAAAAATGAAATGAAATAAAATAAGGAAATAAAAAAACAAAAAAAAAAAAAAAAAAATTGATAAAAAATAAAAAAAATTAATAAGAATGGTCTCATGATGGACGAGATGAACTATGGTTCGAAACGAAAACTGGGAATTTTTTTATTATTCTAATTGGAAAATTGTATATGCCTTTAGTTTATTTAATTATGTACACATATGACGTGCATGTGAAATCAATAAAATTCTAAATGCTCTTTATTCACTTCATTTCGTAACTGAATCAACTTGTTTTAGCTTATAGTAAATGCAGTGAGTAAAAAAGGAAATTTTTATACGTTTATAAAACGTACATAAACGCTATCTGAAAACGATAAAAATCAAATTTAGTATATGTAGAAACCCTGTGAAGTCGCAGTGAGCGAATAATAATCTCACAATCACCACATTGAGCAATGTCTTAAATACTAAGCTTTCGGCTTTTGGAGTCGCACTGCGTGACACCTCAATTCATTGCTTCTCTCTCTTGTGGGATTTCGAGGAAAGGTTCTCCTCTTGCAGCGTGCAGGTTGCCAGGTTTGAGTATAGCGCTCTGGCTTTTTTTCTTTTCGCAACGAAAGGATAGAAGTCTGGAAAGAATGTCTTTCATTATGAACTTGAAAAAAGGTTAAAGTAAAATAAAATACTGCCAATTTTCCCAAAAGAAAATAGAGAAGATGTGACCAAAAGAGAAGATTTAGGTAAGATAAGATTTAGGTAAAATAAATATAGTAAATTCAGTGAGCGAAAAAGCACACTTTATATTTATGAAACATACTTAAACGCTATTGGAAAACGACAAAGAGCCATATTCAGTGTTAAAAACGCTGCGCAGTCGCAGTAAACGAATAATAATTATCCCACAATCATCAGATTGAGCAATGTAATATATAGTAAGCCCTCGGGTTTTGGAGTTGTATCCATTGCGTGTCACCTGTCACGTTACACACTTACGTACTTACGTACTTTTTATCTTTTTCATTAGTTAACATGCACCGAAGGACTTATAACCTCATTAACGAACGAAACTTACGTTAAGATCATTGTTCCCTATTGGCTGGGACTGCCAAATTCGTTCATTACCGTAAAATGCCAGGCCCTCATTGGTTGAACGTTTAGTGTCATGTATGATATATTCATAATCGAAAATAAGTTTGCAGTTCTGTTTTGCATAAGTTCTTTCAACGCAAGTTGAATGCTTAAAATATATTCTAATCTTAAAACGCCTTTAAGCCTAGTTTACACTTGTCTGGGATTCCCTTTGGGCTTTGTCCTCAGACAAAGTTGACCGCTGGTGTGCAAAATGCTTTTCTGAGACTATCAGAAAGTAATACAATGGATCCCCGATTCTTAGGAGCCAGTGTGATCCAGGCCTTACACTGATCGATCATTATATATAGCTTATGCGTGTACATTCAAGTTCATTTGACATTATGTAGACCCTAAAATTCGCTCGACTTCATGGATTACTCTGCGTCCTCTCATTGAAGGCAGTAAAACTTTTAGTTCTATACTAGAAGTTCATCTATTCTCGCAGCTTAATAATTTCCACTAAATAAATGTTTGTTTGTAAGACTGCTTTATATTTCCATATTTATTGTGCTGAGAGAGCATGTCCCAAAGGACTAATAGTCTTGATCTATCTTATGACATGAAAATTTACACCGGCATTGCATGCGAGTTATAATTGTTTTCTAACATTTCACAATCTTGTGCTTGTTTCGCGACCATCATATAAAAATTAATAGTGTCAGGTGCAGGTATATGGGATGCTTTTTCGACAATCCTATGCTACAAAATTTATGGAAAATACCGAAAATATAACGAATTTTGAAAACATTGCAATCGACTATTTACTTTTAACGAACATCAACATGCTTACATGCATACATCGTCTCATTTGCAATTATTATACATCTAGCCAATCACAATTAGAACTTTTACGTTCGTACATTTGCATAACTGAATATAACGTCGCTTACGGTCTTCGGTGCATGTTAACTATTATGAACTGAAAAAAGTTTAAGTAAAAAACATCGTCAATTGTCTCCCAAGTTACCAGTCGATGGTTCGAATCCGAGTGTACCTATTTTTCATTATATCCTTCGAAGAAAGGATAAAGTAAATTAAATAATCATAACCGTTCAGCACAAGTTCCAGTAGTCTCGTGGCGAAAGCAATGGTTTCCAATGTGGTAAGTCGATGATTCGAATCCAAATATCGCTGTTTTTTATTATGTCCTTCGAAGAAAGGATGAAGTAGTTTAGTGGGGAAGACAATGGTCTCACAAGTGGTAAAGCGATGGTTCGAATCCTACCATAACCGTTTTTCATTATGAACTTCGTGAAAAGGATCAAGTAAATTAAATAACCATAGCCGTTCAGTAAAAGATCTTCTAGTCTAGTGGCAAAGACAATGATCTCCCAAGTTGTAAATCCATGGTTCGAATCCTACCATAACCGTTTTTCATTATGAACTTCGTGAAAAGGATCAAGTAAATAAAATAACCATGGCCGTTCAGCAAAAGCTCTTGTAGTGTTGTGGCCAAGATGTTAGCCTCATGTATTGACAGTCAAAGGTTCGAATCTCGTTTTAAATGAAAGTTGATGTTTGTGTCAGTTTTCAAGAACCGAGCCCAAAGGGCAGGGAAACAGGGTCAACAGTAAACATCGATGGTAGATCTGTACGATTGATCTTTAATCTGTTATGTTTGCGCTCTTTATATCTTCTTAAATTGTCTTTGATAAGTCTCAAGAGGCCTGCAAACTTAACACCAATTCCCGTAATGGATCTGAGCTTGAAAGATCAACAAATCATCAAGATTGTTATCCAGTTTATTGTAGCCTTGGGCATTTGTCCCAACCTTTTTGAAGGAGTGGGTGCAGCCTTTAAAGAAAGAAATGTATTTTGTAGCGGTACGTAATGCACAACAATTGTCGGTAGACAATGTGATAATCCCCACGGGGATTACATGGTGGAGTATTTCCGAGTGATCAGAGTCATTCGAAGGCATCTACCTCTAGCTACTTGGTTAAATTTAATTAAAATTGTGATGGCGACGTCGGATGTGGAACGAGAACTCCTCGCTAGTGGTAACGAAACCAGTGCTGTGCCGATTAATTTCGCTCAACCCGTTACACAACCGTCGGGATCCGCTTCGCAATCTACAGTAAACATGGCTAACAACGAACACGTATTCCATCGTCTTGCCCAAATCTTGGACAACAAACTAGACCAAAAGCTCGCGAGTCTTAAAAGAAACTTCGACGAAAGGGAAGACCTTCATGCCTCTCAGCTTAAAAAATTGAAGACGGAATCAAAAGCTTCGATCAAGTTCATTCAAATTCAAAGGCAACAAAATTCAATATGAATTCAACGTGGCCTCATTAGACAGGCTTGCTACGGTCTCAAAGTGTTTACTAAACGGAGATTTATCGAAGGCGAACGCTCAGCTAGAGAAGCAAAGATCTGCCATCGAGAAAAAAAATAAGCTCATTCGATTCGCTGATAAAAGCCCTGCTGGTTGGACGGCCGTAGATGAATACCAATCGGACGACTTGGCCAAAAACTCCAAAGATGAGAAAAAAATACGTGCTGCTGAACGCAGAGCTTTGACGAAGATAAAACTGGAAAAGCAGTCGAAAAAATCTACTAATATGAGAAGAGATACTCCGCAGTAGCGATCGTCCTTTCAGTCCACTTTGTCGCAACCGGCACAATCATTCCGCGGTTTCCAGCCCTTTCGTCCGTCCTTTCGTCCGTCCTTTCGTGGCAACCGACAACCCCAACCAACCGACAAATGTTTTAGCTCTGGGCAGTATGGCCACTGGGCAAGCTCCCCTATTTGTGTCAACAGGCAGCGAAACGAACGTCGACATACTGTATCCGTCCCTCAACACTGACTTCCTTACGGAAAAACGACAAAAAGCAGCGGCTGAAAGATTGAGTGCATTTAGTTCTTTATTTTTTTATATAATCCTCAAACCAATTACATTAAAATTAGGTAAGGATCGCATTGCAACCCCTAAAGAGAAAAGTCACATGCCAAGCAAGACACAATCCCACGAGAATCCCCTACGAAATTTTACGCAACGAAAGACCGAAGTAATACTTGATGAAAATAAAGTAAAAAATGATGGAGGTCTTAAATTACCTGATAAAGTTTCAGGAAAAGTTTCAGAGTTTAAACTGGAGACGACGACCGATACAAATTCTAAGATGCAGGAAGAAAATAACGATAATGAGGATAAGATACGAAAAGAAGGTTCTGGAATTAATACAAAAGGATGCACCAAAAGATTCCTAAAAGGTAGGAGTGCTTATTCGTGGTATTCGTTTATTATAGTCTAATATGTAGGTACATCAGGCCCATAAAATTATATTTATGTATTTTATAACGATGTAAATAAGGCAATTTGATTGGCTAAGAAGCGTTTTACAGCAGGCCGATATTTTTCATTCGAAGTTCGGGTCTCGTGGTGAAACCATATATAACTGACTGTATAACTTTGTTCCCTATTGATTTTGGTTGTTTATACGCTTATAGAGACAAAGATGAAAGGTTCTATGTTAAAATACAAGCAAAACAACCCGCAGATTCAGGTAAGTAATGTAATTTCTTATAACATCGAGAAGACTGCAATTACCTTTGCAGTGTGCTTTTTCACTAAAACCGGCTTACATCATGAAATTATTCAGGTAAATAATTCTGCACTACCAACGCTGAATGCTGCAGAGAACAGAACATCTGTAAAGGTAGATACTGACGTATTCTCTTTGACGTATTATAAGCTATACAGCTGATAGTCTAGCTAGTCATACCAAGGTATTATTCCATGCATGGAAATGAACAAAGAGTAAAATCGTCTCTCGATTATAATTCGATTAAGGCGACTCAAATGCAGAGCGAATACCCTGGGGACGAGGTTAGCTAATAACACGGTACACTAAGGGTGAAATAAAGACATCCCCCGTCATTCACAGGCTGTTATTTTGTGCATCGAACTTCATTTTCCCAAACATTTCTTCTTGCTATAGCTATCTCACACACCTGAGAGAATGGATAAGATATTTCATTGGATACAGAGGTCAAGTGGGAAAGGTAGCATACATTATGTAAACTGCTTTATATTTCACTATTTGTTTAAATATATTAACTTCTTTTCATATAGAACGGGAAGTGGCATTTAATTTACTGTCCACGTTCAGCACTAGTGAGAAATTTCAAACCAAAACAGCGAAGAAGAAGGAAAGAGTGAAAATTACACTGCAAGTGTTGGAGAGGTTTGTCACTATTACACTTTTTTTCTTTGGTTTCCATTTCTTTTTTGGAGTTTATCGAATTGTCTGTTGCTGCTTCAAGCTACTGTATAATATAATACTCGGCAAATAACAAGTGAAAACGTACTAGACCTCTTGTTTCAACCAGGAGTAAAATGCCCAAATCCATGGAACCAATGCAACTAAAGACGTCGAAACGAGATTCAACTGCAATGAGACTTGGTCACAGAGAAAGCTATAATAGGCTTGTGAAACAAAGAGAGAAAGAAGAGATGAAGACATGGCATCATGTACCATTGTACCATCACAGTAATACAAGTAACAGAAGCGCGCTGTTTCTCCAACCATCAAAAAGATATCAAAGTCATTTCTCAATCCACCCAGATTGGGGCCTTCATTCACAAGCGAGATTTACGAAGTCGATAAAAACATAGTGTATTTGTACATAGTAACATTAACTAAGTTGCATGTTTTGGTTTATTTCAACCTCTAAAACACACCAGTATATTGACTATTGGAAGAGAAACTGTAGTTTATTGTAGAGTCAGCATTAATTAACTTCCGAAGCTTGAATTATAAGTTCTGTAAATACATCAAATTCCAAATTCAAATTTTTCCCGGATAGTATCAAAATTAATGATCAGTAAGAGTTCGTCATTAAATATTTTTTGCCCTTTGAACACATTTTCACCGCTTCATAAAAAGTGCGTGCTCTAGCTGCTAGGCGTTAAAGCGATCCAATTTTGAACAAAATGACTATTTTCTTTTAATTGTTTGCGCCGCGCGAAAAAGCTGAATTAACCCTACGTCATTGCATCTTTCAATCAACCTCGTGAGGGTGAGGTTGTAGACCTCTCAATATATTCTGATAAGGCGGGATTAAACTCGTGGTCAGGTTGCGAAACCCGAGGAAAAAGGTTTAAACTTTATATTGAACTGTATACATACAATAAGCTTTCATTCAGAATAAACCTGACACAAGCTCATATAGATATGTGAATATTTTAAATGTACCTTTTCAGCAGAAACATATTTTTCCTAGTCCAGGATATCCAAGCCATATTCTTCATACATCATTTTAGTCGTTTTCCCTTCAATATCCGCTATAAAGACAAGAATTGACAATGAATAATTCTAAAGACAAATATATACAGTATATATAAAATTACGAGTTGGCAATGTCCTTAGGTAATTTTATAAAATAAATAAATCTTGTCAATTTCATCTTCGATGACTTCAAGAGAAAATAATGATCGTAACAGTCCAATAGACTTGAAACGTAAAAAATCACAATCTTCAAAGCAAATTTTCATTACTTTATATACTTCAATACTGGATACTGCTTTGACTTTGTTTCTATGAGCACACGTTAAAATCTTTGAGCATTTTCATTTTTGTTTTCATGCCAAAACGGTTTCAAACAATAGAAGTTGAAGCTAATTTAACATATTGAGCATAAGTTCTCTTGTTTAAACGATGAACCAGACAAAAGGATTTTGAAGACGCTCAAAATCGTGTGACGCTCTCGTGTGCATGCACGCAGCCTGTGTTCAATTTTACCCTTTATGCACATGGTAAAGCACCACGCTTACCAATTTTCCCCAGCAAAACCTGTCCTACATCTTTAATTTCATTATATTCATGTAGTTTATCAATATGCATCTGTAGTTCGTCTTCAGAATATTCTATTTCCAGTTCATCTATTTCTTTGTCAATATTAGCAATTCTGTCTTTCAAAATATCAACATTGGAGCCCGCTGTTTGAGCAAATCCGTCACAATGTTTCCCAGGTAAGTCTAACAGCTACAAGAAATAAATCCACACATGAAATATTTGATGATTACATAGCTAGGTTAAGGTCTGATGTATCAAGAACTAATCAAGGTCTAATCCACCCAGTAGTAGTACTGAATCACAGGAGCTAATCCAAGCTCTAATCCACCCAGGTATTAGTTGAGATCTGATCAATCACAGGAGCTAATCCAAGCTCTAATCCACCCAGGTATTAGTTAAGATCTGATCAATCACAGGAGCTAGTCAAGGTCCAATGCATCATGGAAGCTACTCATTTAGGTCTGATCCATTGTGGCCGGAGGCTTATGTTGATTAAGGTTTTATCCAAGCAAGCTAGTTAAGGTCTGATCTATTACGCAAGCTAGTTAAGGTCTGATCTATCAAGCAAGCTAGTTAAGGTCTGATCTATTACGCAAGCTAGTTAAGGTATGATCTATCATGCAAGCTAGTTAAGGTCTGATCTATCAAGCAAGCTAGTTAAGGTCTGATCTATCATGCAAGCTAGTTAAGGTCTGATCTATTACGCAAGCTAGTTAAGGTCTGATCTATCAAGCAAGCTAGTTAAGGTCTGATCTATCAAGCAAGCTAGTTAAGGTCTGATCTATCAAGCAAGCTAGTTAAGGTCTGATCTATCAAGCAAGCTAGTTAAGGTCTGATCTATCAAGCAAGCTAGTTAAGGTCTGATCTATCAAGCAAGCTAGTTAAGGTCTGACCTATCAAGCAAGCTAGTTAGGGTCCGATCTATTAAGAAAGATTGATGAGGTCTGATCTATTAGAAAATGCAGTTGAGAAAAGATAAATTGGCAGAGCCAATGCATTATGTCATATGAATCTTTGATAATTAATACAATGACTGATTACCACCTCTACCAACTGATAGCAGGTTTGGTGAAATATGAGAATGCATATATATATATACTATCAGAAGAAAAAACTGTCTATAGATATGGAAAGATGCAATAGCATTATATTAAGCAATGTTCAAACAGGATACTTACTGGAGATTTGAAGGGTTGTCTCAACCTTGATCTTGATTTTGGTCTACTATCACTGTAAAATAGACACCAGTAAACTAATATTAAACCTTGTGTCAAATATGACTGGCCAAATCACTTGCTAAAATTTAGTGGATATATAGCTATATATTTTCCTGAAATTTTATGTAGAGATGTTGATGTGATCTTTAAAAATTATATATTATACCTTGTTGGTGTGGAAAAGTTGGATTTCTCTTCATGATGGGTGTCAATTTTCCCAGCCATATACCATGATAACTAAGGAATAATATTTATTAAAAAATAAACCAAAGAGCCCCAGACATATTTTCCCAGGCTGGAGTTGTTCAAAGCCTGACTATTAACTTGATTTGACATTAATGTATGTAGCCAACAATTTAAAAAAGTAAGGTAAAAAGCAAATTCCAAATAAACAAGACATCGTGAGAATCAAAATATAATTCAAACAATTGCTTTTTACTTTACTTTGTTAATGTATGTATTTCAGGAGTTTCAGCTTCCGGGAAAAAAATCTCTTTTGAACCAGGAGTATTACGTCTGATACAAGTCAGAACACCTATTCAACTTTATAAACTGTTGGAAATTTGACTTGTGGAGTGTGAATTCATATTAATCCACTAAATCCAGCCATCCAGGGTTATACAAATTGCAAACTAGTTTTTGAACAATCATTGAATTACTAGTATTAATACATTTAGAAAAAACAATCGTACTCACATTCTCCTTTCTTAACAACTGAAAGTTTAATTGCAAAAGTAATTTGCTAAATACTAGCACGAAAAAAAAAGCGGCAAATTTATTTAATTTTTATCTTTATCAGTTTGTCTGCTGTGACAGCTGTGTTTTCAATTTACAAATTTCCCGCATTTAAGAAGCGACATTTGCTTCGGCGTATTTTTTGACGCAAAAAACGCAGCCCTAACACTAACATAAACCATACCAACTGACATTTCTCGGGCTGAAGGCACTAACGAGAATACAGAGTTAACTGTCTGAATGTCTCTGTCGCTGTTTTACTGCTGTAAGGTTGATGAAGATGTTTGATGTTCATGAATGATTTCTGGTATTGTGCTATTGTTTAATTCAGAGACTCAGCCATGCAGAGACTGGGGAGAGTATTCAGGGGTTAATTAAGGTGGTTTTTAGTCTATATAATTTTTTTTTCGAACCATATATGTTTAATACCAGTATTTTTTTGTATGTAAAAGAAATTGGAAAGCATGCCAAAAAATTTCGGGAAAGAGGATAAAAACACCCAAAAAAGATTAAAGATCATCCAGCCTATGCCACAATCTAACTTGATGATACAACCAGCTGCAATATACCAGCATAGATTACAACTGCGAAAGGTGCAAGGACAGTTGCTATAGGAAGATCTCTCCCCCCCCCAATAACTCACATCTTTACGGCCGCCTAAGGAGGAGATGCACTACGGCCCCCAGACCATGATGTATGTGCACCTAACCGTTAGTGCGTTATGTGCACCACACGCCTAGCATAGCAGTCGGAAGAAACAAAATATTCATAAAAACTAGGGCGGAATCTGCTTTAGTGGTCTCAGAATTGAGCCTGGTCAGTGGTAATTACCATGAGCAAAGGGGACCAGGTGACGTCAAAATGACGCCAAAATCCGTCATGTTTTTTGCTTCACTTTTTGAGCAAAAACATTAGGAGCAAGTCCTCCAGGAATATAGCAGCAAGCCCTCGTCGCTACTTTATAGCTAATATCACTGCTCAGTTAAAATATAATGGGCATAACGAATTGCTGATTGTGCATTTATTTCAGTGAATATAGCTCAGTGGACAGAACATAGGCGAATCCAAAGTTGCCCTAATGTCACAGTGAAATGTGATAGCTCAGTGGTCATGGACATTCAATGGCACTGAGCTATATTAAATTCCTGGAGGACCGGCCAATGGTCCATAGAGATTATAAATAACACAGTGTTATTTATAATCTCTATGCATCCATTGAGTTCACTGTCTCTATGCAATGGTCATGGTAGTTGTGCGCATGCGCGAAATTTGAACGAAGAAAGAACTGTCGTCTACAACTTGCTGATTGGCTAAGACAAAAAGAGAGCATGCATGAGAGCGTCAGCATTTTAACTGTCATTTTGCAAACTATTTTTTGAAAATATAAATGAAATCATGGAGTCAAATATTAAAGCAATAATAAAAGATTTAAAGATCATCACAGCACAGAAACAATTGGTGAGATAGGAACGACTGGTAGTTTATAATCTTTGAAGTGGTAGGTGTCTATATTTTGCTTATTCAGTGTTTGCTGTAAGAATGCATTGTTATTTTGACAAGTACGAACTTGGTATGTCGTTTTACAAGGAGCTAACCGACCGTTTAAGGCTTTACATCATCGCTTAAACTTTAAAAAGAGTTCTCAAAAGTGTACTTCAGAGTTTTGATAAAACAAATATCACTTTGCAGCTTATATAGTCATTAAAATCATTGAATAAAATAAATAATCGAAAAACAATATTCGACGTTTAGTGCTTGTATGGTTATTATAATTATTTGTGCTGCTTTGATGTTTTCAAGGTTTAGCTATAGAAAAGTTTAACACTCGCTTAAACTGCAACGTAATGCAGCTGGCAAACAGGTCATTTCTGTCCACCGACTTCCTGTTTTACGACTGTCTTTGTTTCCAAAAATTTGCACGAGTTATTTCATGTTAGCCTAGAAAGTTAGGTCTGGGTAGCTCACAAAATATTTTGCTTCGTCTTAAATAGCGAGCGGTTGCTGCATACATGTATTTCTAGTTAGCGTTGAATCTATGTTTGCTTTTTGAACTGAGCTCAAAGAGCAGGGGAAAAGGGTCAACAGTAAACAGCGATAGTAGATCTGTACGATTGATCTTTAATCGGTTATGTTTGCGCTCTTTTAATATATCTTCTTAAATTAATATAAACACAAGTTCCCGTAATGGATCTGAGCTTGCAAGATCAACAAATCCTCAAGACTGTTATCCAGTTTATTGTAGCCTTGGGGTATTTGTGCCAACCTTTTTGAAGGAGTAGGTGCAGCCTTTAAACAAAGAACTGGTTTTGGTGATGCTTTTGCGTGCTGAACAAGACATCAAGTGTCCAAAATGTTTGTATAAGTGTGTAATGGTCTAGGTTAACTGTCTTGACGACCCTTCATTGAGCGGAGAGATGTTGAAAAGCACCCATGCACTGTGGCAGTGCTGATGTTAAGTTTATCTATAACTCCGGGTTCAGCTTATGTTACCTGCGGGGTTCGATTCATTCTGGCGAGGATTCGAATGTTCCCGGTAGGTTTGTCCACTTTCTCTGCAAGTGCCGTCCCAAACTTCGAAGTTATGCATTTGAAATTAAATCAACGTTTGGAATATACAACAATTGAATGTGTGCTCTTAAAATTGCCATAAACATGCCGTGTTGCTTGTTGTGGGATGAAAATTTAGCTGCAGAAGAATTCAGGGTGATTTGATAACCTGGATTACCATACTGCACTGGTATACCCAACAATGGTGAAGTCTTTGTTCAAACTATCTCATGGAGTATTAATGAATAAACCAAGTCCACAATTAGTAGAAAATCTCGATGTTTTCAATGTCAGATATTTTGAAATATGAATTTGAAAACTCGCAGGGAAAGCCAGGAGATTTATCCAGACTTTTCATCGACAGTTCTCGGGCTGAAGGCACTAATGAGAATGCAGAGTTGACTGTCTGAATGTCTTTGTTGCTGTTTTACTGCTGTAAGGTTCATCAAAGTGCTGATAATACAGTAAATGTTTGATGTTTATGAACGAACCCTGCTATTGTTTAATTCATTGCCTCCTATATCATGTAGTACTGGGGAGAGTATTCAGGGGTTAATTCAGGTGGTTTTTAGTCGATACAATTTTTTTTTCGAACCATGCATATCCGTTCCATATATGTTTAATAACAGTGTTTTTTGTATGTAAAAGAAAAATTTGAAAAGAAAAAAAAATTCTGGAAAGAACCTAAAAACACCCAAAAGAGATCAACCAGCTCATGCCACAATCTAACCTGGTGATACAACCGGCTGCAATATACCAACATGATTACAACTGCGAAAGGTGCAAGGACAGTTGCTATAGGAAGAACTCCCCCCCATAACTCACATCTTTACGGCCGTCTAAGGGGGAGATGCACTACGGCCCCCAGACCATGATGTATGTGCACCTAACCGTAACGTCTCAGTGAGAAACAGAGTAGGCTTTGCCACACGCCTAGCGCGTCATAGACGAATCAGCTACGGTGGCTAGCCTTGAGAGCGAAGAGAAATTTAACGTATTTAAGCTTTTCCTGTTCTCGGGAGGCGGTCTCTAACAGCATATGCAAAGAAAACGACTAATAAGGCACACGCTTGGAAATGACAAGATTTAAAAGCCTAAACGTTTTTTAAGTGTTTTTAGCGAGAAATTTTAGAGTTTTCATATACTTTTAGTGTTTTGAAACAATCCTTGTTGGTTTTTAACGTCGAAATAATCGTCATTCTCGAAAGGAAACTCAATAGAGCAGGGAATTAAAGGGTCAACAGTAAACAGCGATAGTAGATCTTTACGATTGATCTTTAATCGGTTATGTTTGCGCTCTTTTCTTTTATAAATCTTCTTAAATTATAAAAAACACAAGTTCCCGTAATGGATCTGAGCTTGAAAGATCAACAAATCCTCAAGACTGTTATCCAGTTTATTGTAGCCTTTGGTATTTGTCCCAACCTTTTTGAAGGAGTAGGTGCAGCCTTTAAACAAAGAACTGGTTTTGGTGATGCTTTGTATGCTGAGCAAGACATCAAGTGTCCAAAATGTTTATATATGTGTGTAGTGGTCTAGGTTAATTGTCTTGACGAGCTTTCAATGAGCGGAGAGATGTTGAAAAGCACGCCGGCGCTGATGTTAAGTTTGGCTATAACTCTGGGTTCAGCTTATGTTACCTGCGGGGTTCGATTCATTCTGGCGAGGATTCGAATGTTCGCGGTAGGTTTGTCCACTTTCTCTGCAAGTGCCGTCCCAAACTTCGAAGTTATGCATTTGAAATTAAATCAAAGTTGGGAATATATAACAATTGAATGTGTGCTCTTAAAATTGCCATAAACATGCCGTGTTGCTTGTTGTGGGATGAAAATTTAGCTGCAGAAGAATTCAGGGTGATTTGATAACCTGGATTACCATACTGCACTGGTATACCCAACAATGGTGAAGTCTTTGTTCAAACTTTCTCATGGGGTATTAATGAATAAACCAAGTCCACAATTAGTAGAAAATCTCGATGTTTTCAATGTCAGATATTTTGAAATATGAATTTGAAAACTCGCAGGGAAAGCCAGGAGATTTATCCAGACTTTTCATCGACAGTTCTCGGGCTGAAGGCACTAACGAGAATGCAGAGTTGACTGTCTGAATGTCTTTGTTGCTGTTTTACTGCTGTAAGGTTCATCAAAGTGCTGATAATACAGTAAATGTTTGATGTTTATTAATGAACCCTGCTATTGTTTAATTCATTGCCTCCTATATCATGCAGTACTGGGGAGAGTATTCAGGGGTTAATTCAGGTGGTTTTTAGTCGATAGAATTTTTTTTCGAACCATATCCGTTCCATATATGTTTAATAACAGTGTTTTTTGTATATGTAAAGAAAAATTTGAAAAGAAAAAAAATTCTGGAAAGAACCTAAAAACACCCAAAAGAGATCAACCAGCTCATGCCACAATCTAACCTGGTGATACAACCGGCTGCAATATACCAACATGATTACAACTGCGAAAGGTGCAAGGACAGTTGCTATAGGAAGAACTCCCCCCATAACTCACATCTTT